CATACGACTAGGGCCCCCCCCCCCTCACCCCCCCCCCCCCGCATACACCGCAAAAGTGGTATAATAAAGGCAGTTTTGGCTCCCAAACGGCGGTGTTTCTCAACCCTTTTACAACCGCGGTCCCCAAAAAGGGGAAATTTGTTTTGCGGCCCGTCTGACAGCAAATAAAACACAAAAGCAAGTCTCCAAAAATGTATATATCACACATTTACAACTTTCTGCTACTGTGACATCTGCTTAGAGGTAAGAAACTATTAAAAAGTGGCTGGAGAGTTTATTCTGATAGACTACGCTCTGTAATGCATTCATTTAATTCTTCTGTGCTAACGGGGCAGAAAAAAAAGGGGGGGGGGGGCGGGGGGAGAGAGACTAATAGGCGGGAGGAAAGTTAATGTGGTTAGGACAATAAGTACTTCCCCACCGAACTGCAAAAAAAAAAAAACAGGAAAAGTAAACAGAAGACAAGGGTTTTCTATGCAGGGGCCATGAAATTTGTTCATAGCCCAGGCAGCAATTATGTGAACAGTTGAGTTACACAACAACAGCAACACATGACTACATAGGCAACGCGAGATCAGAATGCAGAAGGTTAAGGGCAACAGATTCCGTTTTTCCGGTGCTTCAGCCATTTATAATCAACTCTGATCCTGCCAGATTTTGTTCCTTAAGTGCAGCCAAACCAAAATTATAACAGGGAAACTTTCTACAATTCTACTCCGTATGCCTTTTACATTTCTATCTTGCTTTGTGTTACAGACATGGCTGAGAAAGTCTTTTCACGCCAAAAAGAGCTTTAAAAAATGGCCAACAATCCGAAAGCCTCATAAAATGATATCCAACACTCAGAAATTGACTGGACATTCGAAGACAACTTGGTGAGCTTTTCTAATTCCTGAAAATCAAGCGCATGATGATTTTATGTCTTCAAAGACGGGATTATTAATCTAAATATTACCGTTACGAGAATCCTCACTTTCAGGGAACTAATCAGTTTTCAGCCAGCATCTTATGTTTATAAACGCTGACTTTTAATGCTGAAAATCACTTGTGCTCCCCGTGTGGGTTCCTGGTGTCCATTATGGGGAAAACAAGAACAGACCCACTGTCGTAGCATGTCGTAGGAGTCGACTAATAGGGAGCTTCATTCCAAGTCAGATTGCATCTGCCTGGGTGGCTAGGAACAGTCAACTGCACACACATAAGCCAGTAAAACTGATATAAACGCACAACTCAGACCCTGGCACAAAGCCAAAGTCCAAATGGACGAACAACCAGGACTTTCCGCCGCAGTTTACAGCCGGTGAACAAAAAAGAAGAAGAAAATCACTTGTACATATCTGAGTCCTACCCTAGATGTGTTAATCTCACATACTGCTACCTGCCTTTGAAAAAAAAAGGGGGGGGGGGGGAACTACCTACCCTATCCGTACATGAAAAGTCAGAGATTTTCCCCCGCCCACCTGCGCTTTTCCGTGGCCCACCAATGGGTCACATCCCATGGGCTCAAGAACCTTAGCGGGTCTGAAAAAGGCCACCGAGTTTCCCTCCCGCCATAGCTGTGCAGACTAAACAACTCACATCGGAACACTTCATGCTGAGGCACTTTGTGAGTGTTGGCTATGGCGTGACAACTCACATTCTCGAGTGCTCGCTAGACATGACTTATGGTGCTATTAATCTTGATAAGAATCAGAAGTGAAAGGTTAAGGCTTTCCTCCGGCAGGTCACGAATGTCTCGAACAGGAAGGTCTAGGCGCAGCTGTTGATGCATGTGAGGTCACTGCATGAAGATACGCTGCGATATCAGCGCCTGTCAACCCAACACATACAGCTTCAGCAAATCATCAATGTTTAAGTCTCAGACAAGTGTTACTTTTAACTCATTACATTATTTACAAGTGCCCCTTCAAGCAAATCCTGACAAACGGGTTAAAAAAATAACAGAATAGGACAAACTGGCAGTACAAATAAAGGGTACTTATGACGTTCTCCACGCCTTCAGAAATATTGGTTGATTCGCGACGATTCACGCCCACGTAATCTGATTATTTATACAGATGTTTCGGTGTTAAGAGGAAAGAGAAGTGCATGGGAGGTTCGTATCGAAAGCAAATGGAAAATCTTTAGTGCAAGACAGCCGAGCATACGACATCACAACATCTAGCATAAGAATGTAGGTAAAGGCGGTAACTGCAGCTCTCCGGTAGCTAGAGAACAAGATGCATACTTGTCGTAATTGTAACAGACTCTGAAGGAATACTGAGAAATGTGAAGACAGGAATACTTCGAGCAGAGTGGCAAGCTTCACTGGGAAGGTAACGGGTAGTGAGCATACTTTTATCCAGGCTATGCCGGCGTAGTCGGTAATGAACAGACAGACAGACTGGCTAGATCTGCACTACTGGGTGATGAACTGATACTTGACAAGGCAGATGGAGTCAAGGCCTTTTGGGAACAAGCAACGGAATCAGTAGAGAAACAAGTTTATTATGGCATGGAGAGAATCAGGCAGCTGGGTGTAACCAGAGGGTCTGGCCGGCTCATTACACTCAGAGGAAAGGCAAGACGGACACATAACCAGATTGTGACCGGTACCATCGGTATTGGAACTTTGGGCTGGCTGCTGAAGTTCTTTTTCCTCAGATCGTAACACAATCTTTATAAAATTTGCAAGCTTTCTGATGTGCCCTTAACCATGTACATAATTATCTTTTTATGTTTTCTTTTAAAAAATTATATTGCTAGTTCAGATATATTATTCTGTTTAGTCATTCAACACATTATTATTATTATTGCGCCCTTAAAATTCTGAATTCCTTTGAGCCCCTGGCCAAGCCCATAGAAAAGTGTGAGGCGACGAGGGTGCCTCAAGCGCCCTTTCCCCCGTACAACCCACTGATTTCTTTGTAACGCCGAACTGTCTGTATTTTTCTGTACTCAAATTTACCAGCTGCGTGATGATTAAGAAGGATAAGTATATCATGAGAAGAGTAACTACTAAACGCAGTGGTGAGTGGCTTGAATAAATTGACACATCAGGGGTTTACTATCTTTGACAAAAGTTCAAAAGTAAGTAAACGAGAAGTTGAGTACATATAGTAACAGTATAGTATCATATTTAGGTACAACATCTATGTGGAACATTATTTCATTTCGGGAAATAAACGGTCAACTGAGACTACCTGCTTGCCAGGAAAGCGATAGAAGTTATGCTAAAGGAGTCTATGCGCCTGGTGCCCCTTCTCCTCTCCAGCCGACCAGACCTTCAAATCTGAGACTGCATTTTCCGCAGCCAAATATCCGCATTGGGTTTTAAATGTTTTTTTTTTTTTTTTAAACTGAAGCTGTCTCCTTCAGATCCTTTGTATTCTTCAACTTTTGGGCGACTTACAACGGTATTGACTGTAGACAGGTTTACAGGTCAAGGGACGTGCCACAATGTAGAATCCCCAGAAAAAACAGCTGGTGTGCTCTACTGCACGAAAGGACTGTTTCCTTGACCCTCTGGTGTATTGCGTAGCAGGATTCCCGAATTATTTACCGCAAATTCACATAGAGTGGGTAGAAAGTATACATGTCGTTTCAAAGGACACGACGTATACTTTGGTCCCCAAAACCTCCAATACAGCATCCACTGAACACATCAGCTTCTATGGAGCATACAGCAAGTTTTCAACCTTTTTTTTTTTTTTTGAGCTGGCAAATAATAACATCGTTACGGGAAAAAAGGTCGAAAGCATGCGAGAAATTATAGTCTTTAAACAGCACAAAGACGCGTCGCCATGTTGAAAACGGAAGAAACACCTTTAACAAGAAGCTCTGGATAGATCAAAGAAACGCAGACTTTAAAAGAAGAGTCTTGGATAGCACAAGCAGGTGACAATTACAGCTGTGTGCGTTCTTGAAAATACTTGGCGAGGAGAAGAGTAGTTCAAAGCATCTGAGCAACAAACAGAGAGCAGAGACTGTCTAGAGGGCAATGCAGAATCAAACATTCAACAACGGATTCATGATAATTGCATCCCAAGTGTATATAGAAGTAGAAGAAGTGCACTTTGGTTCATTGCAACAAAGAATTGACCACCCTTATTGAGACAAATCCTAAAATATGATATCATAACATCTAGTTTGAGAAGGGAGATGGAGACGGTCATTGAAGCCTTTCACTGCAATGCATGACGTGACTGTAACTGACTCACAAAGCATGCTGACAATGATTGAGGCTGTCTTGCTTAGTGCAGAGCAGCAGTCACCACTGTGTAGTTAGATATTTCTCCCGACAGGTGTGTTGGTAAACGAAAAGGCAGACATATTGGCTGATTCTTCACTGCAGGATGGTACGTTTATTTATGACCTTGGGAGCGAGTGAACAGTGCGAAGGCACACATAGATCATTAAAAGAAGAGAATGGTGCAGCCAGGAGTGATCAGGGTATCCAACTAACACTCACCACTCAGAAAGACGAGACAGACATACAGCCAGACTGCTTCTGGCACCATAAAAATTTGAACTCTGCGCTGGCTGTTGAAGATGAGTACGGAGCGTTGATATGGATTTCCCGAGTGCTATGATGTTGGTCCTTAAATCAACTAAATGCAAAGATGCTGAGCCATTTGTGGTGGATCCACAGGAGCTTGGCTCACACTAGTTCAGATCTATCTACACCTCTCCGCTGTCATCGTAGAAACAAGTTCCCAACATAGACGGTATCTGCTTTGTTCCAAATCAGAGTGCATCTGTCTGAAAGGCAGGGAAACAAAAGTCTGCACAAAAATAAGCCACATCAGTAAAACGAACCTACATGTAAACTCAAACCCTAAAACCAGACCAAAATATAGATGTGGACAAGCAACCACAATTCCCCGTCGGCGTTTACAGCTAACCGGCTGTAAAATCTATCGACATAAGAAAAATTTCATTCTGTAACAATTATTGGACCGAAAATGTATGGATCAGAATTGGATGAAACACTAACTGAATAACTGATATCTGTAACAAAGATGGCAATCCCGTTAGACGACTTGTTTACATTTCCTTTCACATTTGATCCGAGGTAGATTGCTTGACGTTTATTCCAGAATTTTTAGGATTAATGGAAATATTCCTTATTATGACAAGAAGATTTTAAATGAACATTTTGCACAAATTTAGAGAATCTGGCTTGTTTGTGATTGGCTTTGTTGTATTTTATTCGCCTTCTCTTCTCACCGGCTGTAGTGTAGTAGTAAAGTAAGTTTACGGCTATCCTTCGAATAACTGCCTTATATTATGGCGGCCACAAAAACACCCTAACAGTGCCTGTCACATGTAAAATGCGGACTTCCGGCGACTACCACCACCGCCGAGAGTATATCCCACGCCGCTAGGAGCGACATGGATTGGGTTTAAACTAGATGGCTGGGACTCACAAGCAGCAGCTTCCGCATCTCCTGCAGCAATTTTTTACATGTGACCGAGGCCCTGTTTTTGGCTGCCATAATTTGTCACTTCTAGACTTCATTGTTGTTCCAGAACCTGAGTGTTGCGCGCACATCCATTCTACAACAGCATAAGATATTAGGGTTATCCTCCGAATAACGGTCCTAAATTATTGAGGCGGAAAATACACCCTCACAGGGGCTCAGTCACGTGTCATTTGCGCACTTCCGCCACCACCGAATTGTGAACTTCCGGCGACTTCCGCCACGCCAAGAGTATCCCCTGCGCCGCTCATGCGCCGTGGATTGGGGCTAAACTAGATGGCTAGGACTCACGAGCAAATAAAATGAAGAAAGCTGCAGGAGATGCGGTAGCTGCTGCTCGTGAGTCCTAGCTATCTAGTTTAGCCTCAATCCATGCCGCGCGAGCGGCGCGGGGGATACTCTCGGCGGTGACGGAAATGCGCAATTGACACGTGACTGAGGCCCTGTTAGGGTATATTTTCTCCCTCGATAATTTAGGACCAATATTCCGAGGATAGCCCATATTAGTATGCAGACTTTTGGTTTCTTCCCTATTGGGCAGATGCACTCCGACACCGAAGGAAGCTGCAAATTTATTAGATGACTCGGCTATGTCATCTGAATAACGGTCCCAAATTATCGAGGCTAAGAAAATTCCCTGACAGGGCCACAGTCATATGAAAATTGAGGACTTTTTTCCAGCGACTATACCGCATACCTCGGAAAAGCTTTCGCCGAGTTAAAGTCACCGCCCTAGAGTTTTCCCCGGTCTGATATGCGCGACATGGAGGGGGTCTAAATTAGATGGCTTTGACTCACGAGCAGCATCTACAGCATCTCCTGCAGCATCCTCCATTTTATTTGCTCCCAGCCATCTTGTTAAGTCCCCCTCCGCACTGCATGCAGCGGCGCCGGGGATACTCTTGGCGGTGGCGGAATAGAAAAATAAAATGGAGGATGCTCGATAATTTGGGACTGTTATTCAGAGGATAGCCGACAACTCTAACTCTTATTACTAGATAACTGTGCTTGATGGAGAGGAAGTGGAAAGTAGGTCTCAAACCCCCCCCCTCCCCCCACACACACACAAACAATGAGGCCTTGGACAGGGAGGCTTTGAATTTGTATTATTCTTGTGAGTGAACATGGAACTAACTCGCACTCATACTATTGGATTGGCTGACAGTTATTTTCTCATTTTGAATTGTCTCCGCTGTGTGGCGGGATCTCGTGGGGGGGGGGGGGGGGGAATGACCCTTGGTTCCTTAACAAACACAACGTAAAAAGTGACTAATTAATGGTTTGCTGGAATCAAACGTGTTGGGGCTAAAAAGCCCAGATTTCGCAACCTTGCTCTAAAAACCACAACACAACCGTCCAATCCGATCTACATTTTTTAAATTTCAAAAAGATGCAGAAGAACTAAGAAGAGTGTGATATGATGATTGGTTCTTATAAACTGAAAGGCACTAGTTCGAGCAGTGATTGGTTAATATGTATTTAAAATCATGATGATAATAAATATAATTTGTGTTTCAGTAATATACGTAGACCAGAGTCCAAGATTTGTGTGGTTTCCATATTTGGGAAGAGCCGGCACAACCCCTTCTGCTCTAAGGCTTCTCTGTTAAACCCAGTTATTGACAGAGACATTTTCCAGGTCAGTCCTTGAGATGTGTTACTTGTCAGTTTGCAGGAATATAAAAAATCATAATAAAGCAGTTTCCCTGTGTGGGTTACAAGGCCTAATTTGGGGCAAAATGGAAGGGGTGGGGGTGGGGATAGACCCGCTGATTCCTAACAAGCCTTTCATTAAAGACGACTAATTAGATGTCCAAAAAGAAAAAAAATGCCAACGTCCTGCATGGCCTAAACATCGAGAAGTGGCTCGTAATCAGCAATCCTATCTGGCAAGTTGGGGTATTTTGGACATGTCAAGCACCATGGTGATCTGGAGAGAATGGTGACAGAGGTGCAGTTTTCGGAATTTGGTGTAGAGGCCGACCTCTGCAAAGGTGGATACAAGACATTGAAGATGTACTTTCTTTGAAGACTCCAAGGGCTGGAGATTTGGCTAGAGAAAAAGAGACCTGTAGGTATGTCGTAAAGAGAGATATTTTGGTGGGCTGTGAAGAGAGCCTAGAGAAAGAGAGACCTTTAGGTAGGCCATGAAAGAGAGACTCGAGAAAGAGAGGCCTTTAGGGGCTGTGAAGAGAGCCTAGAGAGAGAGAGAGAGACCTTTAGGCAGGCCATGTAGAGAGTCTAGAGATAGAGAGACCCTTAAGGTGGCTGTTAAGAGAGCCTAGAGAAAGAGATACCTTTAGGGGAAGTGGGGGGGGGGGGGCTGTGAAGAGAGCCTAGAGACAGAGAGACCTTTAAGGCGGCTGTGAAGAGAGCCTAGAGATAGAGAGAACTTTAGGGGGGCTGTGAAGAGAGTCTAGAGATAGAGAGACCTTTAGGCGGGCTGTGAACGGAACGATGTTCTGTAAAGGATAATATTGATTGATGATGATGATTAATTAGAGGTCTGCTGAAATTGGATGTGTTAAGCTGAAAGGGGCAGATACTGCAGCCTTGCTGTAAACCACAACATATCATGCTAACCACTTTCCTAAGGGTGAATGCAAAATAAGATATGACAGTAACTTCCCTTGTGGGTTCTTATTCCCCCATTTAGGAGAGGGGGAAGTACAGAATAGACCTACTGCCATTCAACAAGCTTGTCATAAAAGACAGCTAATTAGGTATGTATCCTTGGAAGTGAGTGTGCATCTGATTGAGAGGTTAGGAACCAACAATTTGCCTGCAAAAGTACATGCGAAACTCAGGTGGAAGTAGACCAAAGTCCAGAATTGGACAGGCTGAACTGTCCCCTGGAGTTAACATCTGGTGGATGCTAAGAAGATAAAGGTACCCATAGAACACATAAACACCCCCCACCCATCTTCCCTCAGCCATTATTATCATACATTGTTATTATAACAATTGCAGCTTTGTGGCATCTTCATCATAAACTGTGCCAGAAGTGTAGGCTTTTCTGTTTTACCATCACACACCATCACCAGAATCATGGATCAGTTAAATGTTTGTGTCACGCCCCATCCATCTGGCCTGGCCATCCAGGTTTTGATCTCTGTGCCTTGCTCTTGCACTCCGGACAAGAGCCTTTCTCTTGCTCTCTTTCCATCAATCTTAACAGTTGTTACCAAGTTTTCTAGTCCCATGATCATCATCATCATGTAGCGGAATGTCGTTCTCATCACGGCCTGCCTGAGAGAAACCCGATCTCTCGCCAGCTCTCCCACCAGATTTGTAAAACTTATGCAAGTTTTGGAACAAAACTAAAGTCCAGAAGTGGATGAACAAAGTTTTCTGCCAAAATTTACAGTAGTGAACTTGAAGAGAACAAAAAGAAGAAGAAGCAGAAGAAGAAGAACTGTCCTTGTGTGTTAATCCTTATATTGTATATAATGGTACTCTGTTTTCCTTGTTTAGGGCACAGATGGATTTTTGAAGCGCCAAATTGAAGATGTGAGTATCTTTGATAATCTCTTCTACATTTTTCAGATTTCCATTCATTTTAAACCAGAACTGTCTCCTAGATTTCACAGCCGGTGAATGCGAATAAGAAGTTCTCATTATATTCTATTACAGAAAGTTGTTATATTAATACTTTCAATTCAGATTGTTGAATTAATTTTTTTATATTCATAGTTTATGGGAGCTGTCAAATTGTTGTTGCCTGTCGCTCGCCTGCGGATTGCAAGGTCATGGGTTCAAGTCCTGATGGAACCAGACTTTTTTCAGAAATGACCTCTTCCAGGTCGACCTAGCCTCAAACTGGTACCAGGTTAAGTCCTCAGAAGTAACGGTGGCCAGCATAATACTGACCACATCACCAGCCAATGCCAATTGATCTATAAAATATGTCTAGCCCTATATGCCCAGTAAGTTAAAAGATGCAGAAAAGGGGCTTTTATTAAAAAAAAAAAACCACTTTACATAGGCACTATGAAATAGTGTAATTGACCTAGCTTAAATAGTCTGCATTTTGTCAGGGCTGTCATTTGCTCCTTAACCAAAAGCTGATATATGAATCCTAATATGAATTCTTATTCCAAGCAGGTCAAAATAAAATAATACACAGTTATTTTACATAGAGAGCTCCTTGTTCAAACATGATTTACCACTAAGGAGACGTCAAGGTGTTGCCAACGATACAGTGTTCTCTTTTCAACACTTCATTCTCACACTCCTTTGGGTAGAACAAGTTAACAGAACCACATCCTGGCCTGGAATATAAAAAGTTGAGGGAAAATAGTTCGGGTCTCAGGAAGAGACATTCTTCAGCATTCCGAGTCCTTAAAATCTATTACTGCAGAAGTCACCCTCCTTCACTCATTTATGGGAGGTTTTCTCTTTCTGTTGCTTACTTCAAGTGTTTGTACAGATCCTAGAAGCCCCTTTTAACTGCAGAACAGTTATACTGAGTCTTTAAGTCCAGACTTTAGCAGTGACATGATTGACAAGAGTACTGCACACTTTACTAACTCCATAGGTATGTTACAAAGTTTGTGTGTGTATAAATGTTGATCGATTGATTGTTTGTTTTATCTGTTCTGCTTTTTAAAGATTTACCATACCATCCTGAGATTTAAAAAATCTCAATCTGGATGGCAGACCAACCAGGCAGACTCCCAGATACTCCGTCCAGCCTCCAAAGTAGTTATAATTAGGGCACCCATAATCGTCCATGAACTCAGAATGGATAATACCAGACTCCTCCCATCAAGCCCTCATATGGACACCAGAAGGGAAAAGAAAACGTGTATGGAAGACTAAGAGAGACCCTGAACCGTCATCAGGGAAGGCTCAACCATAGGCCTAATGAACATTCAAGACCTAAAACAGGTGACAAAGAACCGCCAGACATGGAGAGCTCACACTTCTACCCTGTGCACCACCGTAGGTTCAAGAGGAAAGACTAACGATCTAACCCGTAATGGTTGCACCAGCCAGGCGTAATCCACAGTCCTTTGCAGGTAAGGATTGTAAAAATATAGCTATACATCACAGAAATGAAGCACATGTTTTTTTTTCATGTGCAGGGAAATTTAGAGTGCTACTATGATTCAGATTCAAAAGTTGTGTACATGCATTTGCTCTCCTGCTATGACATCAGTATATTGGCAGACAAGTGTCAGAAGTTTGCCGAGAATGCCAGTGCTCAGGTAAGGAGTTTTATTTTCATATCAGTGTCTGTCACTTATTTAGATAAATAGATTGCTCTCTTTTATGAGCATTCACACTTTTCACCCCAGCAACCCTTGTGAACAAAACACAGGATAATCTCTTCTGCATTTTTCAGATTTCCATTTATTTTTTAACCAGAACTTTCTTCCAGAGTTTACAGCTGGTGAACAAAACACATGAACCCGTGTTTTCCTGAAAAAAAAAAAAAAAACATAGCATTGCTAGATTAATGGCTTCTCAGGTCAAAAAGGTTAAATTAAGGGATTTCCTGCTGTTATAGCATCTGTTGTTTTTTTTAAATTAAAATTTTTTCCCCTCTGTTAATGTATGTTAATATTAAGGGATGTCTTTCTTTTATCAGGGTTTTTGAATTGAGGGATTTTTTTGGTCTGCACTTATTGACAGATGTAGTAATTGTTCATAGTGAGTGACTAAGCTTAGTGTTGAATTGTAACAGACAAAAACAAAACCTCAGATGTTTTGATGTTACCTCCATTGACGAACAAAAATAACAATGTTACATCAGTGTAAATGCGACAGTTAAACAAATAAAAAGGTACAACCATTTTGGAACAGTGATAACTCTTATGCAAGATTCCATGAAGATGTTAGAACATCTAACATCATGGTTACAGTAACTTTTGAAAAATGCAAAACGTTTTTATCTGTAAAAAGATGTCAAGTACTTTAAGAGAAAATTTATAAAAAAGCACATTAAAATGCTATAAGAAATGTGTTGTTACATGCATTTTGTTTGCTCTTGCATGTTATGAATGTGTTATATTTAATTGTTAAGTAACAAATATCTGTTAACATAAACAGGGGAACCTCAGGATACGAATTTAATCCATTCCATGACTGAGCTCGTATGGTGAATAACTCATTTTCTGAAACTATTTTTAGCCATTTAAACCTCATATTCTGGGGCAAAAGTAATTGGTAATCCTGACCTCATATCCTGAAACTTGTATCCAGCTACACTCATATCCTCAGGTTCTACTGTACTTTGATATGTTATGAGTATTTGTCATATCTGTTACAGTTTGACTTTTATATTACTGGTATTTTTAGTTTGTGGCAGGCCAGGGGGCAAAAATTATAGGCTATCAGGCCAAAGGCGGGTTTGATTCCTCCATAAGGCAGTTTTTTTCACCTGCATTGGCCATATGGCCTGACATTTTTAGGATCTTAACACCTGTCCTACACCACAATAAAAAAAAGGAGTAAATACAGACAGTAAGAAAATGTTTCTGTTGTAGTTAAATATAATAATCGTTATTATTAATTTATTGTTGAACTTGTTATGCTGCACTAAAGAATTTAGTTAACATGAAAATGGCGGTCAGACGATTATGTTCAGAATGGTGTGGGTGTGTACTTTTGCAGGTGCAATGCCGGTTTTCACAGTTGATCATTTATGCCAAAAGTGAGCTGAAGTTCTGGTGTGCAACAGTTAGTTTCGGCAATCTCGAAGCTGCCTTAAGCATTTTTACTTTGTGTATGCTGCAAACTGGGACTGACAAGATATTCACTAGTTTTCAGATGGGACAGTGAAGGACAGTTTGTGTGATTTCTATTGGCATAGGAATGGAGCCGTCATGAGGTGACCTCAACTAAGACTTAGATTTATTTGTTAGTTGTAAAGTTGTTAAAACTTGTATTTATTACACTTTAGTTATTATTTGTCTTGTAACTGTTACTATTTAGTTTTGTTTTTGTAACAAACCTGTTATATCCTGCAGGAATTTTACACATGGTGCCAGGAAGAGGATCTAAGGCATGCCAAAGCTCTTCTGCTTTTGTTTACCTTGTCACATTTGGTTCTAGTAAGTGTAACTTTCAACTCATAAATAAGCAAGTAAATTCCTTAAGATCTTTGTGATGCCGGGGCCATAATAACGTAGTGGCCAGATGTTCACCTGCTAGCATGATCATGTCAGTTTCTTCTTCTTCTTTGCATTCACCATCTGTAACTTCGAAGGACAGTTCTGATTGTTCATCAACCTGGGGACTTTAGTCTTGTTCCAGAACCTGATCTTTGCAGGCATATCCGTTTTATTTATTTGTAGTATCTGTTTCATTTAAATGCAGATTGTTAGTTCCTTGCCTCTCGGGCAGATGCACTCTTTTGAACGAATCTTCCAGTTAGTCGACTTTTATGTCATGCTTGTTGGGAAAGCAGTGTTTTCCCCACAGTAGGTCCCCGGAACCCACACAGGAAGGTCTTGGGTTCACATCATAACTCGGCATGTTTAGAGACACCCTGGCTGCCAGGTCAATCTAGCCTTTGGGTACCAGGAAATATAGTGAGAAGTAAAGGTGGCCGGCAAGATTTTGACCGCTTCACCATCGAGAGCCGACTGGTAAATGAATTATAAGTCTAGCATCATTAACCTGATGTGCCATTGGCATGAAAAGGCTGCTTTACTTTACTCAGATATATGGATTACAGAAGAATACTGGCAGTTCCTTGCACAGCCAACATTATTGAAACAGATTAACCCTCTCACCCCAATAATGCTAAATGTAGTCACTTCCAGTTGTGACACTGCCCCGTAAATGCTGATAGATCACCATTTCTGTAGTGAACTGTTCTCAGAAAGCGTAATTAACTGTAATGGGTTCTATATATGCCTATGTACTGTTCAGGAGACCCATATGTGAATATTTTAACCTAATAAAGCATTTAGAGAGGTTTCCTTGTAGATGCAAAAGCTTTTTAGAAGCCAGATTGACTTAAAATGTCCCTTAAGCCTCAGTGATAGAGGTCACAGAGTCACGGCATGAGTCACTTGATTCGTATTTGTTTTAGACCCCGGGGAATGCATTCTATTTAATTGCATCACTCTATTCTTGTTAATTGATTGTTCCCTTTATGTGTCTTTATATATTTCGAATAAAAAATTTAAAAAATGTAAATAAATAAATTAGTCAACACTTAATTAGTTAACTGTGTAAAATATATTTTTATTGCATTTTTTCCAGGAATTCCCACAGGTTCATGACCTTTTTTTTTTTTTAAATTTTAGCATTCTCAGAGTGATAGAGTTGGGACACAAAGGCAGCATACCAGTATTTTAAGAAAGAGATGATTGTCATTTTGTGTTAGTGTTATGATAATATAAAAACTAGAACTTGTATAACTAAAAAGATTTATGGAAAAAGAGGCATTGAGGAGGACACAAGAGAATATTTTTGACAGCATTTTATCATGATTCAGAAATTGTACATCCGTTGATGCATGCTTTATGAGAGCCACCATGGTGTTTTGGCTCAACCTGCTGGCCTGAAAGTCTTGGGTCTGAATCCACATCAAGTCAGTTTTTCTCCAGAAAGGACCTTGGCTCCCAAGTTGACCCAGCCTAAAATGGGTACCAGGTAAAGTGATGGGAAGTAAAAGCACCCATCGAAAGCCGATTGATCTATAAAAATATAATTCTAGTATTATGTGCCCGAGGTGCCACTGGCATGACATAGGTCCTCTAGTTGAAATTTGTTAAAAACTGAAACGTGCCATTTAACTCTTTGAGTCCCAAGGAACGCATCATACGTTCATAGGTTACTGTTTAGAAGCCCAATGAACGCATGATGCGCCGATTTTACGTGTCTCTTGACTACCCCTTGGGCCTGTGATGCTGAACCCTTTGGGACTCAAAGAGTTAAGGTTGCATGATGCAGACGAGAGATCCTCTCTGCCACTTGGCAAGGCAGTCATTGATGATGATGTGTAGCTTTAACTTCTCATAAATTGAATGAACTAACAAACTTTATTTTCAAAGGGTGATAGATTGGGCTAAACAAACCAAAAAACTCCCCAGAACACACATCCTGACCTGCAGAGTTTGTAGTGAGTGCACTAGCCCTCCAGCTGTACATCTTTAGACTACAGATGCCTTCCTCCTCCCCCTCCACCTACATTGCCCTTTATCATCTTCTTATAGTCCTTGCTGTCTGGCGTTTGTAGTCATGTCTATCCACTACCTTTTTTCCCCGTGCACTGTCTCTCCATTCTAACACAGATGATTTTCCATGCCGTGATGTCAGACTATTAAGCATTTTCTCTCTCGTCCTCCCTCCGCTCTTAAAATTTGTAAATAAGGATGGCAACCACAAAGTGAGCTTTGCAGGAGAATATAAGTATTATATTTGGCACATTCAGCCACTCATATTTAACGCAGAAATTGTATTCTATGTATAATACGTGTTAAGTTCATTTATCAGTATACATGAGTACTTAGTATAAATGCAGAAGCAAGTAAACTGCATATATACCAAGCTGCATTGTGAATCAGATGTTGATTATAGATTTAGCAGTTAATTTCATGACACATTCTGTTTTGCTACATGAATTTATGATTTTATATTGTGAAAAAATGTTTTCTTCTTTGATTTGTGTGATTTTAGATGATTTAATCAGTTTCAATATGTAAATGTAAGATGAAATATGAAATGATCTGTTTTATTATATGAATTTATGGTTTTATGTTGTAAAGAGATCTGTTTGGCTGCATGAATTTATGATTTTATATGAAAGATCTGCTATGCTACATGAATGTACTACTTCTTGTTGTGAATCTGTTTTGTTACATGAGTTTATGATTTTATGTTGTGTATCTGCAGCTGTATCACCCGGGAAGTACTTTTGATCTGAGCTACCTCAAACTGTTTCGGATTTTGGATACCCTCAGGTAGTAACTGATTTGTGGGCATTCTTTGTCATATAAATCGTGACCTCCCCCCCCCCCCCCCTTCCCCCACCCATCCTCTTTTCTGCCCCACTCTTCTCCCACCAGAAGAGACCGAAATTGAAATAAGCCTTAGCATAATTTCTCAGAAATCTCTTAATGAAAACCCTGTAATGTAAGCTATAGTTAAAAATCATCAGCCAGATGGCATACATGGAAAAAACCCAGAACTGGAATCCCTTGTGAATGTTGATTGAGAAAAGCCAATGTCACAGTTAAACAATAGGGGTGACTGCAGTCAAACTGATTTAGTGTGTAAATTAAGACATATTGATGTCATAAATAGGAGTGGCTGTGCTTGAGTTAGCAAGAGGTAAATTACACATTGAAGTTAAAAAAAAATCATAGGGTGACTTCGTTTGAGTTATCAAGAGGTAAAACACATTGAAGTCAAAAATAAGGGTTGCTTCACTTGAGCTTTCAAGAGGTAAATTAACACAGTGAAATCAGAAAAAGGGGTGACTTCAGCTGAGCTATCAAGAGAAAAATTATTACAATTTAGTTTTTAAAAATGTGTGTGGCTTAAGAGATCAAATAACACAGTGTAGTCAAATATATGGATAACTTTGGTCAAGCTGTTAAGAGTGTAATGAACACAATAAAATCAAAAAGAGAAGCGACTGAAGTTGAACTGTCAAGAGAGAAAATAACTTAATGAAGCCAAAACTATGAGTGACTGCAATTGAGCTTTCTAGTTTAGTGTTATGTTATTACAGTCGACAACTCTACAACTCGGCACACTTGGTATTCTCATGCATGAGGAGTCCTCTGAAGCAGCAAATCCAAGGTACTCCATTGACAGCCCCAGTGAAAAGATGGTGGTATCTTCTATCTTGACCACAAAGTCAACATCTTTATGCTTCAACAGGCTTTACTTGCAGGTTATTTAGTCACTTTATATCAGAGACTCGTCATCTACAGGCAGTGTCTGCTGGTGAAGAAGGGGGTGAAGCATGTGGTGCTTGAGCTGGACTAGTGGAGTCATAGTACACTAGAGGTTCAGGGTATACAGATAAATAACAAGGGCACAACTTGGAATTTAGTGAATGTTTATGTTGCTGGTGACTCTTTTGTCACAAAAGACCAGCAGTGCTGGACCTCAGTATTGTCCCAGGACTACCACAAGGTTCTGCAATTTCATCAGTGCTCTTCAATGTTTACACAGGCAGGATTGCAGAACTTGAAGCACCAGGAGTTGGAAGAATGTTGACATTTGTGGATGATGTTCTTTCATATACACAGGGGAGCTGTAGGCAAAAGACAGCCCAAGAATTACTGGCAACTGTAGACAAAGTGACAAAGATTGTGGAGTGCCTGGAAATGAGAAAGCTGATAACTGGCAGGGGAAGGTGTGACAAAAGTGCAGCTGGATGTACCAGTCACATACCACCAAACGAAAAGAATAATTAAATCGATAAGGAAACCACCGGCCCCAGCACAAGACGACTATTTTATTATGGACAGATCAGAACAAGTCATTATCCTTCGCCTCAGAACAGGGCACAACCGATTACCTAACCACTTCTACACAAAATTCAAAATAGACGTATCAGCCCTGGGCACTTGTGGAAAGGTGCCCCAGACAGCAGAGCGTGTACTCCAGGACTGCACCAAATTTTACACATTAAGGCAAACCTTTTGGCCAGAAAGAACAACAGTGGAACGTAAACTCTATGGACCACTAAATGAACTAACAATGACAGTGAAATTTATACAAGAGACATAATTGCTGATATAGACAACTTATTTCAGGCGAACAAAAGAAGAAGAAAGATCAGCTCTGCCCACTTGTCTTCCTGCATATGTTGGTGCCTTACTTGTCTAGTCATAATGTGAGTAGGAGTGACTGCCATGGAACTGATTTGGTCAAAACGTTTAGTTGTATTTGTGCATGCCCTGTTTGTTCCCACCGTTGGGTTATCTAGTGACAGTTTTTGTTGTATTTAGTGATCCATTCCTAGTCACAGTCTATGGTAGAAGAAGCAGACCAAAAGAGAAGATCCTTGATGGTTGATGCGGTGGCATGGTAGAATATCATCAGTGGAATACATACAGAATACCAAGGACCAAGATCAGTGGAGGGACATGAGTGCCTATGCCACCTGGCAAGGCACATGATGATGATGAGTCATAGTTTGTGTGGTGATAATTTACTCAAGTGTCAGATCTGCAAATTGCATGATTACAGATCAAAGCTCCAACATCACATGAGTGAAGTCTTAAAAACCGTCCCCGGTGTTTCCAAGGAATGGGCTAGTTTCGGTCGAGTCTGCACTCCTCGTATGTTGCTGTTCTTTGAGAGCCCAGCCATTGACATCCAGCCTGAGGAGCCTGATTGTGCATTCCCAAAGACAACTAAGGTCGGTATTGTTCTACTTTTATTTGGTAATAAAGAAAGCAGTGACAATATACTGAACTTTATATTTGCCTAGAAAAACCACAAGAGCCACACAAAAAAATGCTGGGGTTGCTTCTGCAACATCATGTAAAGGAGAGACAGCTATATTTTCTAACCCACTTACTGCCAACCCTGTTAATCCTTGCACTTTCCCAGATACTGAATATTTCCATAACTATTTAACATAAACTCATAATATTTTGTATTTTTGGCACCAAATTTAACGGAGAACAAATTTCTGGAACAGAAATTGCATAATCTTGTTTTACATCATTAAATGGCTGTAGATTGGTGCAAAAAACCTAACTGAAACAATCTTCTGTCTGAGACAGTATAACATTCAAGTAAAATGCAATTTTTCATTGTGTTAAAATAATCCTGGATGAAAGCTCTACCTGACTGAAATGAAATTTTGTTGTGTTTATGACTCAGTTTGTGACTGTATTATCAAACTGAAAAAACCACACAAAAAATATTTTTTCAAACTGCAAGTCATGGGCATCGTACCCCAGTAAACTTTGAGGATTGGGTTGTGAAACGATTGTAACTAAACTCGAAGCCACAGAGCTTTACACTATCTACACCAACAGCTATAACAGTATGCATCTGAAGCACAAACATAAAAGAGTCTACACAAACTAATATAACGTAAAATACTGACCTAAGAGTGCCATTTGCTGATAAGCGAAATATCATCCTTTCAGTTTGGGAATGTTTTTGTGGCAATTTATAAGAATTATCAAAGTCACATTCATCAGACTGGGAGCCGTCGTGGTTTAGCGGTTAGATGCTCGCCTGTGGAACGGAAGGTCATGGATTTGGGTCCTGACGGTGCCACACTTTCTTCAAAAAAATATCCTTGGCACCCAGATCAACCCAGCCTGCAGTGGGTACCAGGCATAGTCCTGGGAAATAAAAGCAGCCGGCCTGGTGTTGACCCCATCACCCACCAGGTGCTGACTAGTCTATAAAATATAGGTCTAGCCCTATATGCCCAGTACACTTTTTCATCAAACTATGCAGAAATATAGTTACCTTCACTTTCTGATTCAAATACACACACACAAAAAAAGAGAATCACTTAAAGCACCAGAAATGTCCCTCAGAATGTTGCCATCATACCGGCTCTGACAATCGGCAGCCATTTTCACTACATTCACCTAAAGTGTCTCCAATGTGGGAGCTGACTAAGAAAATCCGTGACAAATTTACATTAAACACTGCAGAATTATTTCCTTTAATGAAACAGAGAAATAAATCAACTTATGGCACCAAGCTGCACTGATACCAAAAGTTGCTGTTTTACCATTGCGACGTGTGTCTAGAGTTGCAGGGGATGTGATTAAAGTAGTCAAACATAAATGTTGGCCGATCACGTAGCGTTGGTCATGGTAGTTGGTGGGTTAAATGGGACAAAATATTTCACTTTTTGGTATGCAAAGATGCTTAAGAAAAAGGAGAGAAGAGAATATGCTAAACAACAAGTATATTACAATTGATTCATCAAATTATTTTAACCCTGTCGCCAGAGAAGCCACCAAAACTGACACTTCTGGTTGGGACCAATTTCCCATAAATTTCACTTTTCTGACTTATCTGTCTGGCACACATATTGTCTGCTCAAACATTAATGAAGTCAGGTTGTGAGTATATCAATGATATATAATATTTAGGTGCCTTTTCTTTTAATCAGCCAGTTTTTTAAAAAGCCAAATTGATTAAAATATTTCCTGTTAGCTTCAGTGATAGAGGTCAAAATTTCCCGGTAGCTTGGGTGATAGAGGTCAAAATTCCCTGTTAGTTTAGGTGATAGAGGTCAAAATGCCCTGTTACCTTATGTGATAGAGGTCAAAATTGCTGTTAGCTTCAGTGATAGAGGTCAAAATTTCCTGTTACCTTCAGTAATAGAGTTAAAAATTTCCTGTTAGCTTCAGCGATAGAGGTCAAAATTTTGCAGTTAGCTTCAGTGATAGAGGTCAAAATTTCCTGTTATCTTCATTGATAGAAGTCAAAATTCCCTGTTAACTTCAGTGATAAAGGTCACAATTTCCTTTTAGCTTCAGTGATAGAGGTCAAAATGTCCTGGTAGCTTTAGTGATAGAGGTCACAATTTCCTGTTAGTTTCAGTGATAGAGATCACAATTTCCTGTTATCTTAGGAGATAAAGGTCAGAGTTTCCTGTTAGCTTCAGTGATAAAGGTCAAAATTTCCTGTTAGCTTCAGTGATAGTCATGGGCTGGGAAATGGGTTCTATTTAATGCTTCACTTTGTTCATATTAATTGATTACTCCCTTTCAGAAAAATAAAAAAATAAATCCACATATAAATCTAAAAAAAAGTTTTTGTTAGGGGCCTATGTAAAATTTGTGTTTTTAGAGGATTCTTTCTAGAATTCTAACTGGGTCATGGCCCATTACAAATGTTTTTTAAAATTTTAGCATTTTTTGGTCAAAATAGTTGATAGCCCCAAGGATTTTCCAGCGATTCCTGTTTGTTTTCTCTTTGAGCTGAAATAAGTCAGTGTTCTATTTTATCACAGAAACCCACTCCGATGAAGAAGTTACAGTTGAGCATGGAGGACATGATCTACAGAGTGTTACGGAAGAACAGAGCTATCACCAACATCTCGTCAGTCATTGTTGTTATTGCCTTTTTTCCTAGAAAAACAATAGGCGGTAGTCACCACAAAGTGCCTGTTACAGTAGCATTGGGAAAAATTTAGTCTACAAAAAAGGGGTCGGTACTGCATACCATTGCGTATCGCCAGAAAAAAAGCCCCAGTTATAATTACTGTTGTCATGACCATTATCATCATCATTGGTATCGCTTCATCATCGTTATTGTTATTATCATTGTCATATTCAAGATAATGCTCGCTCGGAGGATTTGATTATTTACACGGATGGTTCGGAGGAGCAGATGGATCACTACAGTCTGGTGAGATTGATGCAGGGGAGAGTGATGAGAAGTTCTGGCAGATGCTCGAGGCTGAGAGGAAAGGCAAGACCGGCATTTAATCAGAATGCTGCTGGCACCATTAGTATCAGAACTCTTCGCTGGCTGCTGAAGGTGTGGACGGAGCGCTTATGGGAATGCCCCAAGTTCTGTGATGTTGGTTCTTGAATCAACTCACCAACTCAACTCATCATTGTCATAGTTTACTTGGTCATATTTTACTCAGTCATGTTTTATTAAGTCGTTTTTTACTCAATATTTTACTGTCATGTTTCAGTTATGTTTTACTCAAGTATTTTTACTATCATGTTTGACTCAGTTATTTTTGACTCAATCATTGTTTTACACAAACTGGTTTTACTCAGTCGTGTTCAAACATGTTTTACTCAAACATGTTTTACTCAGTCATGTTTTTTTTTAAAAACTAATACATATTTTAGTCACTAGTCAGTTATGTCCTAACTAGTCCTGGTTCAGTCGGTCATTTATTACTCAGATTTGTTTTATTGAGTCATGTTTTAGTCAGGCATGTTTTTGTCAGCAGTCAGTTATGTCTTAACTAGTAATGTTATAGTCAGTGATGTTTCAGTCATAGTTTATTTAGTCAACTTTATTTTATTCAGTCGTGTTTTACTCATTGTGTCTCAACTAGTCATGTTTTAATCGGTCATGTTTAAGTCAGTAGTCATTTGTGTCTCAGCTAGTCATGTTTTCATGATATATGCTATTTTATGATTTTCAGGAACAATTCATTGTTTTCATTGCCCAACAACCAGCAGTTTGTTTATCTCCTTTCAAAACGAGCAGAAGTCTCGGACCCAGTAGATTTCTTCATGTCTTTGATGAGGCAGACATGTTTCCCACAGCCTGAAGGTAAGCACATTATAGTTTTTGTTGTCCAACAAGATAGTTTTTATGATATCTAAGCTTTAAAACTTTAACCCACTATCCAGCCAACCAACTATCTGTCACAGACCTCTGGGTGACCTTGCTGGTCCGTGGCTCGTAACTGGGCCTATGACAGACAGACCAACCTTTAACACACACTGAACCCGAACGCACACAGAGCACACACGACAATCTTTATTGGAAGTACAGGTAATACATAGACAGTTGACTTCCCGCTGTGTGGCCACCTATTGCCTGGACCCTCTGGCTGAACGGACTTTACAATCACCTCGTCCCCCAGTACGTGCTACAGGCAATATCCTGGTGTACAAACCACAGCCCGGCGAGATACGTTCTTTTCTATCGCCACGCTGACCCAATCAAACTGTCACAGCCTCTGTCTAGCACAGGGTCAGAGTGCCAAGGCTAGCCACTCTCTCACAGCACATGTACATAAATACTCTACACAAGAACTATCCTATCCTAACAGAACACTGTACATAAATACTCTACACAAGAACTATCCTATCCTAACAGAACACTGTACATAAACTATCCAGTCACTAACAGAAATATATCCTAACTTTAATACTATAACTGTCTTCCTAAACGTCCTCTCTTCCTGACCGACGCACACCGAATGTCCTGTCCTCTCTCCCTCGTGTCTCTTGACCCCGTTCACCAGATCAGTCCCAAAAGCCGTACTCGTGTTGCGGATTTGTCCACAACACGGTTTACTCTTTCTTGCTTTATCCTGAGCGCTGGTTTCGCTGTGCAATCACAGAACGGACTTGCCCAGTCACGGCCCTGACCTTTGTGTCAACCCTGTGGTGTCACCTCAACACGCACACCTTACGGTGTGGTACATTCCGCCACTGACTGTACTCACAGGGTTGTGACACTATCTATCTATTTAACCAACCAATCAGTCAGGAATCCTGCCATGTAACCAAGTGTCCAACCAGCCGTCCATCTAATCAGTTACCAATCCAGTCAACAACCATCCTTTCAATCAACCAGCCATCTGTTCAGTCATTCAATTTTTCATCCACCCATCCAGTCAGTCAACCATCCAGTCAACAACAATCCTTCCAATCCACCAGCCATCTAATCAGTCATTCGGTTATCTGTCCATCCATCCAGTCAACATCCAGTCAACCAACCATCCAATCATCTAGTCATTCAACCATCCTACCACTCAGTCCATTATCCAACCAACTAGCCATCCATCCATTCAGTCACTCAATGAACCAATCATACAGGCATCCAGCTAGCCATCATACCACTTAGTCCATTATCTAACAATTCAGTCATCCATCTGTCCATCCATCCAGTCAGCCGACCATCTAGCCAACCGGCCATCCTGCCACTTAGTCCATTATCAAGCCAACCAGCCATACATCCAGCTATCCATCCATATCAATCATTCATCCAGTCATCAAATCAACCAGCAATACTACCAATCAGTTCATCATCCCACCAACCAGCCATCCAACTGATCATCCATCCATCCAACCATCCATTCTTTCTTTCAGAATCCCTGTCCATCAACCAGAAACCCAAATCTTACAGTGCCAACCGCAGGAAAGTCAATCCACCAGTACCCGAGGTTCTTCCACTGTCTGCCACTTCAGTTCTCCCATCCGTACCTCTGTCGTCATCATCAGCATCTTCATCAACAGTGACCTGCAGGCAAGAACAGAGTGTTAAGGAGTTCCTCTGGCAGAACATTGAGATGGTGTTTGCCATGTCGATCAATGATAATGTTGGTTGGCATGGAAACGAGCCAATTTTTGAGGTAATCATTTGTGATTTGGAGAAGCTTGTTTGTTAAGGAGCTATGTTTAACAGATGAGTCCATTAGCTGTTTTGATCTTGTACTCCCCTTGTTGATTCTGGGGCCCCACCTTAGGAAAGAAATAGACCCACTGCCTGATCACATTCATGTTGTAACAGGCGACTGATTCAGAATTTGCTGAAATCAAATGTTTGCTGAAGTTGAGCAAAAGGCCTAGATATCATAGCCTAACTGAAAACCATATCACGGCATACAAAGAAGAAGAATTGAGTCCATTGATGAGAAGTACCAGGTAAACCTAGAAAATACAGTTTAACAGAATCAACAGAGTGTGTCTGCTCTCACACTTCACATCAGTGTAGGCATCCATTGGCTGAATTTGTTTTGATCCTGAGACAAAGTTCACTGTGAGTTACACATTGTCAATAAAGAAAATACAGCCCTGCTGAACTGATGGAATATTAAACACTCACACTTTGCAGCAGTTTTCACATCTATTGGCTGAATTTGTTTTGATTTTTTGTGTTAAATGAGGATGAGGTGGGACGGGTAGAAAATACCAGAGGGCAACAAAAAAGTGGGTGGCAGAGTTAAGGAGAAAATTATTTTGGGAAAAGAGGGTGGGTGGGTAGTAATAGGTTTGTTATGATCTTAAGTGTCACATGAGGGTGAGACGGGAAGAGGAGAAAATACAGTAGGGCAAATGGTGGTGGTGGTGACTAAAGAGTAAGAGAGGTATGGAAAAACTACAGGGGGTGGGGGAGAGATGCAGGCAGGGTAGATAGGAGAGGACAATATGAGAGCCTAGGAGAACGGAGGTGAAAAGGCAAGGAGATTGAGGGTGAGAGAAAGACATGTTTTTTTCATTTTGAATTTAGAACTTTGAATTATTTTACATATCCCGTTTATCATTATTGTATGGCAATTATGAAATGAGTGTTTTCCCATTTTACAACAATTGTCAAATGATTCTGCTTTCCCCTTTTACAGCAGCTTTCAAATGAGTCATTATCTCATTTTACGACAGTTATCAAAAGAGTCTGCTTTCCCATTTTACAGCAGCTTTTAAATAAGTCAGAATCTCAATGGGTCTGTTTTATGCATTTTACAGCAGCTGTGAAATGAGTCATCCCATTTTATGACAGTTATCAGAAGAGCCTGCTCATCCATTTTACAACAGTTATGAGATAAGTCTTTGAATACTATAAGACCATTTGAACAGGCTAAGTTCAACATGCAAAATATATAACATGAACATAAATAGGACTTAAACTGAAGTAATGCAAGTCAGCAGAATTCCTGGTCTGCTATATATAGGGTTCAATAGTACTTTTCTGAAGCAAGTTACAGAATTTAAATGTCTAGGAAGTATATTTTCTGAGGGTGGGAAAATAGATTAAGAAATATAAACAAAATGTCAACAAGACATTGCATTTGGTTACCAGCTGACCACATTATTAAGACACACAAACGTAAGTATAACCGGCAATAAACAGATTATAAACAGCATATTCATGCTAACACTGTGCTGCCAATGCCAAACTTTGGCATTATCAAAGGGTGATCTGCATAAAATTAACACCAGTGAAATAAGATGCTTGGGGAAAACTGTCAACTTGACTATCCGAGACAAAATAAGAAATAATGCTATCGGAGTGTGAGAACAACACAATGCACCAAATTAATTGAGAAACAGGTGATCAGTTCGTTTGGTCTTCTTGTTAGAGTGCAGCCAGAACAACCAGCAATACAGACACTTCATATGACCAGATCTAATGTGAAAGCAAGAGGTTATCCAAGGAGAAGATGGATTGATGACATTAAAGGCTTTCTACATTGCTCCAGTAGTAGTAGCCATTGCTACCCATCAAGCAGCTGATCCCAAACTGTTACTCCCCATGCTGCTTAACAGCAAAAGTGGAAATTGATGATGATGATGATCAAATGAGTCAGCTTTCCCATTTTACAGCAATTATTAAATGAGTCTACCTTCCTGTAATAACTGGGAATTTCTGTGAGTCACAGGGGGTTCCCCAGCGTAATGGATTAAGGTTCAAAGGCCAGTTAAGAGCGAATCAGCAGGAAAGCTTATCCAAAATAGGCTTGTCATTTCCTTGTAGACAAGTGAGTAATTAAAAGAAGAAACTCATGAATGGGAAGAAAGGACTGGACACGAGGAAATAGGAATGACCAGTTGGTTTTTGACAGTGAGAGAGAAGGGTCGGTTTGATTGAATAGAATGTCTGCAGTGAATCATGAAAACTAACAGCAGGAATGAATATCTGGTATGTAGAGAAATGGCAGAGCTGGAGATGAAAGTGTATTGAACAGTCAATTTGACTGAAGATGCATGCTGTGCTGTGCATAACAGTTGAGGGCCATGGTTTGGATGGGACTTCTAGATTGTTGTTATCGATCCAGTCTTATATATTCTTAAATTTTGACATATTCATGGCATTGTGGTGCTGGGGTGTCTGTGAATTACCCACCTCCCTGGGCAGCAGCTAGAAATGCCCTGTACCAGTTCTAAAGGAAATATAGGTTGTGTTTCTGCCTTCCCCTTTAACACGTAGCTAAGGTGGGGCTCACAGTGTGCTCATTGCCCGCCACCAGATTGCCTGCTGGTTTTGCTGAGCTCTTAATGGCTCTAAGCATGAGTAGTTTGGGCAACTGGATCGTCACGTCCTGAGTCCCTGTGCCTTCACGATAGTTTCCGGTATTCAGGGGGGTTATTTTCAGAGGTTGAACAAGGTATCTGGGAGTTGCCTTGTTGGCGAGTCATCCAAATTGAGATTTTGAAATGTCAGATATTAGGCCTTCAGGTATCAGCTCTGAGAGGGAAAAATGGAAGGAAAGATGGAAGATGTTAAAGGACGTGAATCTTTTTCTCTGTTCACATTCAGACCTCCAGGTTAATCATCTTTTTCTTGTGCTTTTCATCTCCCAGTGGAGCTTAGATAATCATCCAGTTTGTGCTGATACTTCATACTTTCATGACTAGCTCGATTTTGCAGCTTTATACTTTCATAACTAGCTGGATTTTAAAGCTTTATACTTTCATAACTAGCTGCATTTTGCAGCTTTATACTTTCATAACTAGCTGGATTTTGCAGCTTTATACTTTCATAACTAGCTGGATTTTGCAGCTTTATACTTTCATAACTAGCTGGATTTTGCAGCTTTATACTTTCATGACTAGCTGCATTTTGCAGCTTTATACTTTCATGACTATCTGGATTTTGCAGCTTTATACTTTCATGACTATCTGGATTTTGCAGCTTTATACTTTCATGACTATCTGGATTTTTCAGCTTTATGCTTTCATGACTAGTGTCACATATCGCGTGCCTAATATAAGGATTTCTCCTTCAGAACCAGCAGCACTCAGAGATAATTTTGTTGAGTCGTTTGGCTCGTATTGGTCTAAGGGATTCCCCGTGGCCAATATACGATCAACTTATCTCTGGAGTAGGGCAACTCAAGTATTGGCACTACAAAATATGTCAATATATATATATATATATATATTTCTAGGCACACTTGGCTGGACACCCCCACTACTTACTAAAGAAAGCCCCCAGGTTATGATAGTTCATTATCATAACCATGTTAACACATATAATGAAGATACATACACATACAACTGCTAAACACTTAAGAAGGTGACATAGAGAAACCTAAGTCAGCCATGAAAATGAATGCATGTATTTAGTATAATATCTGTACAAAAACAATTGAAGTGAATTCCAGCTATCAGTGAAAGAATTTCAGCACTAATGTCTAAATCCTAAGGAAACTAGGCAGACAGCCGGTCCTGGAGGTGACATCTTCTCATCATGGGAACCAATGGAGCTGTGAGGAAACAAACAGCAAATGAGCATCAGACTTAACTTCTGTCCTTTCTGCCTATGATGCCTCCTTCAGCTCCGGATGATTCTACTGTCTTTGACTCTGGGAATTCTGCTCCACTGGATCAAGTAGCAAGAGTACTTCACTGTACAGCAACTGTACTGGTATCTAGCATGTCTATATCACCAGTAAGGACACACAATGTCTTAGAGCCACATTACTCTGGCACTGGTAGCTGTTTGAGGTACAATCTCCCCCATTTTTGGAGATGTCAGGAACTTTCACAGGTGTTAGCTGGTGGGTAACAAGTTGGTTCTGGTGGTAGGATTGGTTGTTGGATGTTGTTGAGACTGTGAATCTTCTGCCAGCTCTTCAGAAAATATACATCCTGTCAAGAAAATAACTCAACATTAGTCATCATCAAGAGGGTAACATCTTGACAGGAAAGACAGAGCAAGCATAGTCATCAACTCCCATCTGCTGACTCCTCCCTGCTCTCCTGTTTCATTCCTCAGATTGCCTCTCCAGACCAAAAGACATAAGTCTCCTATATTTATCTGTCTGTTTAGTGCAAGAGAAGGCAAGTCAGATATACAGTGGAGATAGATAAAGTGGTCTAACACATATATCACTCTCCCTATCCCCCTCACTCTGCACACAAACACCAATATTTACCGTCAGTACCTGCATTCCCTAGCTTTCCCAACCGCCCCAGCACTCATTGATCTGGGTCAAGCACACACATACTTTGATTAACACAGCCCTGACCCAATTCTGTCCCCATCTCGTATGTACAGATTCTGTAAGTAGTTTAAAACGTACACAATTGTAAGGGCATTAAATGTTTATCAGTATGGGTGGTTTATTGAGGGCATAAGCTATTTAGTCTGTACAGTGTAAGATCTACGTTCGAATCCGCTTCTCTAGCGATCAAGAATGGTAGAACTAAGTGAGATCACACAGCCGATATGGATTTCTCTACAGCAGTGACTACTTTACAGACAACATTCTAGGTACTCGTAAACTATAATTAACTTACCCAAGCATATGTAAAACTGAGCCCTTTCCAGATTGCCTTGAAAATTTAAAGTATACAGGCACAGATTAACACATCTGGAGGCTTGAGAAGCTGGCAAGGAGAATGGCGTCAGTTAGACATTTCAGGCGTTGGTACAAAAGAAGTTCCTTGTATACTGGGGCAAGGAGTAAATCGGTTTCCAAGAAACCTCAATTAACTCCCTAAATATATCCCCAAAAGATATACATTTAAAAGTGGAGTTTAGTTAAAGTAACCAGAAAAGGCAGACATAATAATGTTGTCCAATATATATAGATATAAGGGACTATATATTTCTGGGCGAGTCCAAGTTTGAATTTTGTGCAGATTACAGGTAAGACAGGTTATCAGCCTTATAAACCGATGTGTAATGACTATCATTTCACGACAGTAGCTGGATTTTTCAGCTTTATACTTTCATGACTAGCAGATATTGTAGCTCAAGTTTTCTGCAGGATAAGGTGTTCAGTTTTGTTCCAAGCCTCTTTTATTGTCTCAGATGACATGCATGTTTGGTTACAATGTTGTTATTGTTTTCTTCCTTTGATGATTAGCACCTTTCCATCTTTCCAGACGATAGTGTTATATTGCGCTAAAAGGACTTACAACCCCTGGCGATGGCGAGTGTGATTAGCAAGACCCGCACCTTGTTAAGAAAAGTCTTCCACAATTATAGCATGACGCCCAGCTCTCATCCTTTCTGTCTTAATTTCTTCCTTCATTCTCACTCCCTTCCTGATGTGCCTCTCCACACAATATGGTCCATGTCATTTTGTTCCGAGTCCACCTCAATACATGCATCATTCATGTCCCTCTTGCACACATCTTTATATCGTAGTAGAGATCGGCCTCGACATCTTCTACCCGTCTTCAGTGCACTATAGATGATGTCCTTAGGGACTCCTCCCATTCTCCAGTTGTGACCCAGCCACCTGAGCCTTCTGAGACAGAGCATTGAGAAAACTGTTGTAATACCTGCTCTTTCCAGTACCTCAGTTTTCTTGCTTTGTGGGTCCCCGTAATACTTCTTCATCATTTCTCCGAGTGGCATAAAAGCGTTGTGCCTGAATACAGCAGAACTGCAATATGTGCGCCTTCGGCTGCTAGACAGGCATTTGTTATCTATGTTAGCCTTCAGTTAGTTTTATGTGACTTTTATAGACTTTGTGTGGTGAATTTGTCATCCCTGGTTCCACATGTGTTGTCCGTAGAGAAGCCAGTCCAAGGCAGCCAAATGCTGATTGGTTGACCCTCAAGGAAAGGTAGGGGCGGAGCAGAGCATGGGCATTCCCCACCATCCAAGGAGGTTTTCATAAATCCAGATACATGGTGCTCTGATACTGAACTCATCCAGAGAATCGTCACATCTTGCACATGACTGCTTAACCTGACATCTGTATATTGAGCCTTTCACTCATTACTAGTTGTGTCCTTTGCAGGAAGCAGTCTATGGTTTCCTGCACAAATGGGTATCTCACTTATTCAGCACGTTAGACATGTCTTTGACAGTGACATCTTTCATGTGGATGCCCAGGATTTTTTGTAGCATTTATGGGCATGACTCTCCTTTATGGTCATTACATTTTGACATGTTTGACCATTGGCTGCGGATGTTTGAAACTTTTGTCATAAAGTGGTATCTTTGAACAAGGGATATCTGAACTTTTACTGTCAAACAGTAGAACACTCCGTGGGTAGGCATTTGAACCTAAGAAACCATACAGTAGGAATCTCAATTGAAAGATGTTTAAACGAAGGCTTGTCATATAGTAGGACTTTCAATCAACAGACATTTGAAATTAAGTTTGTCGTGCAGCAGGAATTTCAGACAACAGACATTTGAACCTGAGTTTGTCATTTAATAAAGGTACCAGCCAGAGTACTTCATTCATGTCCCAGATGAGTTTTCCATGTATGTTATCATCCAGACACAGGAGTGTGAGGGTGAGTGCCAGAGGTTTCTGGGCACAGCATCTCTGGGGGCCACCAACTCCAAGATCCCCTGCCAGCTCAATTTAGGCCTGTATAGGCCATTATCCAGGGCACATGATGGTGACGTGTCACAGAAGTTTTGCATCAGAATTTGTAAAACCTGCACAGAGCCTGCTGGTGCCCAAGATGAAGTATAGAGTATCTTCATACCCATCACAACTGCCTTAACTTTCCTTCACGCCTGAACCAAAATCACTGTGCCACAAACCCACTAATACAAAATTACACTAAGGGGACATTGGCATAATGCTAGGGATCCATGCGTTTTGAAATCATGTCATATTTAAATATCGTTTGTGTTGCCACCTCATCATAGTGAAGTAACTGTTCACCAACATGTTCTGTTTTCACCAGCCGCTGTGGGAAAATTCTACCTCTGGCTGAGAATGTCTACCAGCAGGATTTGCCTCCTTTCTACGTGACATCATTTCACCTCAGCCGGGTATGAACTGCCACAAAATCTCACCTTCCATAAGTAGTTTATTAAAAAAAGGAACTTTTTTCACGCTAGTGGCTCATTGGGTGTATGGTGCTGGATACATAATTTTGTATTGACCAGTCAGCACTCGATGGATGATGTGATCCACGTCACACAGGCCACCTTTACTTCCTAGGACATTTCTTAGTACTTTTTTTTAGACTAGGCCTGTCTTGGTGCCAAAGTATGGATTCAGACCCAAGACTTTTGGACAGGCAGGAAGTATCTAGCCACCTTGCTCTTTTAACCAATTATCATCATTGTTTTGTTGTGCCATTATGTGTCAAATATGGCTCAATGTCTATTCCTCCATTCTGTTCTGCCCGGTGCAGTTAGTTCAATGTCATTGATGGAATCCAGTCCAGCACCTTGATCTCCCTCATCAACATTCATTTTAGAATTTCTTTTGGGCACCCTCGCTTCCTCAGTTCTTTTATTTCCAATGTTAGTGCATGTCTGGTGATTGTCTGCTGATTTCTTCTCAGGATGTGTCCAGTATAGTGCCATCTTCTTTGTCTTATGTGTGTTTTTATCAGAGTCTTTTTTCTTCACCCTCTTGAATTCATCCCGTTTTCTGTTCAACTCTTTCCTCAGGCGTTTGTTTTCAAAGGAATTTAACTTACACTCTATGTCTTTAGTAGTTGTCCAGCTTTCACTGGCATAGGTTAAATTGAAATACCTTTACAATTAAACATTTGTAACTTGGTTTTTAATTTATATTATTTAGAATTCCATATTTTGTTCACATTTTTAAAAACAGCTGAATCTTTGCCAATGCTTTCATAATTTCTTTTGTTGTTTCATTTTCTTATTCAAATTAGTACCTAAATAAGTATTCTAATGTGTTACTTTATTTGTTTTTATCTCTAGTGTCACATCTGCTTGATTTGTTATTGCTATCTTCAGTATATTAGTCTTTTCACAACCTATTTGTAGCCCAGAACTTACTTGGAGCCCAATTTTTTATGCTATATTTGCTTCATTATATGTTTTTTTTTTTTGTTTACATATTATTGACGCTTTTCCATACCAAAGTGGTAAAAGAGGAAGTGAAGAAGAAGAAAAAGAAGAACGAGATGTGGATAGATTCTTCTTGTGAAACATATTATCCCTATGTGAGTTCCTCGGTACCCATTGCTGTGAGAACAGACTTACTGCCCCCTACCAAGCATGTAATAAAAGGTGACCAATTAGGGTTTTCTTTGAAATAAGATCTGGCTAAGCAGATCTCTAAAATTTAAATGCGCACAAAACTAAAGTTCTGGAATAAGATCAAACTGGATGAACTACTAGAACTTTTCCACTAGAGTTTACAACCGGTATATGCTCAGAAGAAAAAGGGGAAGATGTAAATTATATGGAGTGAGCTACTTGTGATGCAAAACATGCAACTTTGAGGAATTTGTTGAGCCAATAAATTATGCAGTATATTGTTTGTGTCCCTTATTATTTAAAGTCACTTGATGAACTGGAGTGAAAACTCATGTGCATTTACTCCAGCTGGACAAAGCCCAGAGACTGTTTGCCCAGTACGCTAGAGGACCAGCCTATGACAAGTACCTAGCAGAGCTGCAGGCTTCCTGTGAAACTTACTGGAAGGCAGGCAGGCAGAAGTGTGAAGCCAAGTCTATCACTGGCAACTTCTGTACTCTCAAGGTATGTTGTGCTGTAGAGTAAAGTAAGTAAAAGAGTATTGGCCTTTTTAACTTTGCGCATTAAAGGAAAAAGGACCCTTTTCTGCACCTTTAGGCATATAGTGCTAAACCGACCTGTATTTTATAGACTAATCAACAGTCACTGGGTAATATGGTCAACAGCATCTTGCCAGCCACTTTTACTTCCCAGGACTTTGCCTGGTACCCGGGTTCATTTTACGTTTCCCGGCCCAGAAAGAGAGTGATTTCCCTTGCCATTCATGCCTCGTCGGGTTGCAGGACCTCTCCTATGTTGCAGGGATTTTATGATATGGTCTGGTTTGGAGTAAATAATGTATTATAATATTAATTACTGTAGTTTGAAATTAAAGGTAGGAAAAGAATAAAAATGCAAAGAGAATGGAAGAAGATGCAGAAGAAGAAAAGTGAATTATAAAGTTTCTCATAAGTTTCCAAACGTAATAACAATTCCTAGTTTTAATGAACATTTTATTTAATGTGCTCAACATGACTGCGATTGTTTTTCAAACACGTTTTGATGCGTGTTTCCCCACTGCTGAAGGATATGTGTAATTACAGCTGAAGTTATGCTTGTGTAGTATTGGTAATGCGTTTTTTTCCTATTTTTGGAAACTTATGGGGCATCCTATATCTATAACAGCAATTAAAGCAGCAGTATCTTAGCTACTTTGCAGGTTTAAATAGCACAGAAAGGTCTGCATTTAGTTATCATCTATGACTGTTGCAGGTTCACCTGTTGCCCACAGAGATTCCATCCAGCATCGAGGACAGCAAGAAGCCAGTAGCAGAACATTCCAGTGAAGTCAAGTCCAGAGCTGCCTGTAACTGTGGTCGTGTCCAGGCAGATAAGGATGATCCTTTTGATCATAAGGTGACCGGTGCGAGTTAAGCGGATAAGCAGTGTTGTTTAGCTTTGATGTATTTTTTGCCTCTAGCAATGGTTTGCTAATGCAGTTATCGATCAAGACAAGACTTGATATGGCCACTGCTGCAGTGTCCCAGCTGAATTTGATGTGGAAGAGCATAATCATCATCACAGTAATGGTCAATATTTACAAGTCACTGGTGTTGTCTATTTTCTTATACAAATGTGAGAGTTGGACTCTCACTGTGGAATGTAAATGCCGAAGACATATTTTATAAATTAGTTATTTAGAACGCATAACTAATAATGGTGAATCATAATTTGATTGTGAAGACTGTGCTTCAAGGAACATTGGGTGGTAGTCGAAGAAGAGGTGGGCAAAGAAGGACCTGAAATTACATCATCGAGAAATGGACAGGACTGAGTTATCATTATTATTTATTTATCAAGCAGAAGACAGAGAAAGATGGTGGGTTTTATGTGCCAGTGCTTCCATCAGTTCACCTCCACGACCCTAACAGGTCAAGGGTTATGCTATGTTATGTAATGCAGTTGACACATTTGGAAGAGAGTCTTTGATTTCACCGCTTAAGTCACTGAGTCATGTGACTTTCATTTTTGCCTGCAGTGGTTGTGTCTTGATAATAAGAAAATGATGGGTGGTTGATTTATGTTAGTGCTGCCCAGATACCTTCTGCAGTAATTTTGCTTATGTATGGTCAAATTTTTGTAGCTGACTACTTAATTCCTCTAGTGACAGATTGTGATTCTAGTGTCAACTGTTGGTGTTGGTATTTTCAGCAGCAGTCTTATGCATTTACAGCCCTTGCATCTTTCTGGATTTAGCCTGGATTAAATATTTGTTTACCAGTTTTTAAACATGACAGTGAGGGACATTTCTTGTGATTTCTCACTGGCACACGAACGGAGCAACTATGTGGCGACCCATTTGCAGTGAATTTGAAACCTATACTACTACTCCTCCTCCTCTTACTCTTAATACTAGTACTCATACTGTTGCTACTACTGCTACTGTTACTAGCTCAGCTTCTTCTTTTTCTTTGCAACCACCAACATAGCTCTGATGATAATCCCCAGGGATCTCCATATAAATTCCACCTGTAAAACGAAGCCACAACCTTCAGAGCATGAGGCAAATGGCTTGAATTTTTCACTTTAGGCATATGTGTGGGGGGTTGTATACACAACCAAAAGGATAGTGACCACATCTCTTATGTATTTTTTATTGGTCTGTGAATATCTGGGACTAGAACTATATGCCTAATATCTGCTGTCTTTTTTTTGGGAGGTAAACTACGCATAGTTTGTATTATCCTCTGTCTTGTTTGGTAGGTAGACTAGTAGACTACACGTAGTTTGTATTATCCTCTTGTCTTCATTGGGAGGTAGTCTACATATAGTTTGTATTATCCTCTGTCTTCTTTGGGAGGTAGACTAGTAGACTACATAGAGTTTGAATTTGTTGTAACTGCATGATCTTACCCGTACAGAATTTTTGAAGTTTGGCTGTTTAAACCATGGCATTGATGCATCTCCTATATATCTGATTTTGGCTTCCATCTTGAACTTCCTGATGATGTTTGCTGTTTGTGAATATTTAGTCAGTCAGGTGTCATCTCCACAGTGGATTGACTGCAGTATATCTTCAACATGCACTGCCTTTCAAGTGGCTGGGCACTCTATGGGACTGCTATTCATCCATCTCTTGATGTTATCCTGCCGCTTGTATCCATGTGTACCTCTTGCTCACTTGCCTTAGAGTTTTCTCTCAAGTATGGTTTTTACAAGTGTATTCAATTTTTTAATTAGTAAAATTAGTAGAAATATTTCATTTGTCAAATTAAAAAATTTTTAATTAATTTTTTGTTAAAAACTTTCTTTTAGCAACTTTCTTTAATTTTTCATCTCTTCAGAACTTCTTATTTGACTGTATAAGAAAGTTGAGTTGCAAAAACTTTACTGGACTTACAGGAATTGTGCCTGTCTTATGCTGGTTGACAATGTCTCTCATCTGATGTGCCTGGTTGTGTCGATCTTTGCTTCCAAAGCTCTCATTCTTAGCAGCAATGTGGAGGCACTGGTCCAGATGTTCTTCAGTCGTCTTCTCTCTTCCGTGGCACAGTGTGCATGACCAAATTTCTTTATTGTTCCCCTCCTCCCCTCCCTACAAATCCCTAATACTTATTTTGAAATATACCCATTCATTCATCATCATCAGTTGCCTTGCTCACTGACCTAGACAATAACGTCTCTTGCCCAGCTTGCGATCTCCAACAGCATATATCATTTTGTGTTCTGACGCCCTTCCATGCCATGACAATAGGTTGTCAAGAATCTTATCATGTTGCCTTCCTCTGTCTGTACTCACTGGAGGGTTAGGGGATAGAATCCCTGGCCAACAATATTAGTAAGTCAGAACACTGTTAACCATACTACTGCAGCTCATCTAGTCATGAGACTGTCCAAACAATTTAGAAAAATAGGAAAATGTTGGCTGTTTTACAGAGTGCTAACTTGGACTTCTACCAAGCTATAGAGGAGACCTGCTGCAGCCGACTGGAGCACATTGCCATGCCTGTGTTTGTTCCCACGACACCTGATGCCCGGGCTGCCACAATTGCCCCGGCGTTTGTCCCACAGCAACAGCTTCCACAGCCACAACAGCAGACTCAGGAGAACACAAACAAAGATATTGATAAACAGGATACATTTTTGGCTTTGTCAGATTTGAGTTTTGTTCTTAGTTTGGGTAAGTCTGGTTTGATAATCTGTTTTATTGACAATGGAAAGAGTTTAAACTTTTCCTGTTTTCTCTGTTTGTAAGTTCTGTTTAGGTCTTTCAGTCTCAGGGGTTCTCACAGCAAATGCCCAAGGTAATGAATGACCACTATGAAAAGTCACAAATGCATAACATTTAAACAGGCAAATTATGCAGCAAAAGTAGCCAGAATGAAAGCCAGATTTCTTTAATGTGTTGCGACCAATAGAAATGGGTATTAACACATTATTCGATGGCTGGAATTCATGTGGGAAAGTCTACCATGCATCACTTGTTAAGTGGGACTGAAAAGGGTAATAATCTGTTGTGTTAATAAAAGTCCTTTTGCGGGTTTTCGTGTCCCATTAATTGAAAAAAAAAAAAAGGGGGGGGGGGGGGGGGGGGTTTGCTGAGAATAAACCCTCTGCTTCTTATCCAGCATGTCATAAAAGGCACCTAATTAAGGATATTTCTGAAATCAGATGTTTTGGGCAGAAAGGCACGGATATTGCAGCCTAGCTGTAAACCACAACTCAGTGTGGTAACCACCCTTTTAAAGGGGAATGCAGAAGAGGAATATGTTGCTGGGGTGGGGGGTGAGAACTGGCTACAATGGCCGAGGCATTTGAACTTCAGTTTTACAAAAGAATATTTTTAGAGTAACAGGGATCAAGGCAAGAAAATTACTGAAATTCTTCAGGATCTGAACATCGAGGAGGAGTCCTCATGTGGGTTTGGAGGGGGCGGGGGGGGTGGACCGACTGCCTCTCTATCAAATCAAGTATGTTGTCAAAGCGACTAATTAGGGATTTTTTTTTTTGAGGTAGGAGCACATCTGATCTGCCTGAGAGTCAGGGAACCAACAGTCTGCAAAGTTTCCAGCAGATTAGCAAGAAGAAGATGTCCATATTGAGGCAGATTTGTCATAACTCACCTGGCTGACCCACCATAAAACGAGTAACGGGAAGAATTATGAGAAGTTAAGGTGATTGGGCGAGAAGTCTATCTCATCTTCCATTGAATGCTGACTGGTGAATAAACATTTGGGTCTAGCAACATATTCCAGATGCACCAGTGGCCTGAAAAGTGTCATCATACACATTTTAAGATTTAAAAAAAAGATACACACAGTAGGTTTCAGTTTATTGCCTGGCATATTTCGCTGTATCTTGTCAGATGCATACAACAGGAACAAATAAAATGAAGCAAATAAACGACTCCTTCCGACTGAAACACAGAATTGGCTACATTCAAAGGTAACTGCTTGTTTCATGACTACTCATGACCACTGTCTTTTGTCTGCATTTATTTGTCTGAATATTTGTGTATAACAGGTCAGACAAGCACCCATGTTGGGGAACTGGACTCTAAAGTCAGCCAGATCGAGGAAGCCAAAGAAGATATCCAGATGCAGGAGCCGGATGTTGGTTGGACAGAGGACTTGAAGCAGAAAGAACCAGGCAGGCTGAATTCACAAGAGCGGTGTAAGTGTTGATCATTGATGTAGCTGCATAGTTATACTTAGTTATACTGCATATTTGATACTTTTTTCATTCCTGTGGTTGTTAGGTGTTTTGCGGGACAAATATTATTTAAAAATCGTCACATTCAACAAGCATCCTCAAAGGGGGAGCTTTAGGTTATAATTGTGACTAGGTTATGTACGCCATATAAAATGGCTAAGCATTGCACACCCCAAAGAGCCCTGAAAGGGACTCCTGCAGTGGTGGTGCAATCAGAGGAGACAGACCCAAATGCTGTCCCGACCCGCGACAAAGTCATCTACTGGCAAGCAGATAGGTGACTCAGTCACCGATGTTTCATTCCTGTGGCTGTCAGGGAATAATATAAATATAAACAAGACACTCCTCCACTGGACATATAAAAACCATAAATTGATTTGAGAAATTAGTCATAGACAGTCAAATTTTTTTTTTGACGTCTGGGAATAAATGGACTCAAGAATTGGTTTTACTGGCAAGAATAATGGAAAAAAGAGCAAGGGAAGACACATAAAAACTAAACTGAGTAGAGAAATTAGTCATAGACATCATTTTTTTTTTTTTTTTCATGTGAGAATAAATGGGTCTCAAAAACGTGGTTACAGCTGGTAAGATTAATGGGAAAAAGAGCAATCGAAGATAAATAGATAAATATCTAGACAGGTCGACCATATGGATGGGGTGAGACAAGAGCACTGAGCTGATTGTGATTTTGGTGATCATATGAGATGGTTAAATATAACAGTCTACACTTATCAGCAGGGCACAAGATGATGGTGATTAGGAAAAGCCTCTTTCCATTTTCTTCATTTTGCTTATGAGCATTCTTTTTCTTCTTCTTTTTCTTTTTACTCTTCTTATTTTTCTCCATCTTACTCTTCTTATTCATTTTCTTTCGTCTCCTCCTTCTGCCCCCCCCCCCCCCCCCACTCAACCCAATCCAAAATCATGCCAGTTACCATTATTTCCAAAAATATATCATGATTCCAGTTTAGACAAAGTGGATAGACTTGGCAGGGTTGATAGACTTGGCAGGGTAGATAGACTTTGCACTGGGGATAGCTGACAGGGTGGATAGTCTTGGCAGGGTGGATAGACTTGGCTGGGTGGATACACTTGGCAGGGTGGATAGACTTGGCAGCGTGGATAGACTTGGCAGCGTGGATAGTCTTGGCAGGGTGGATAGACTTGACTGGGTGGATAGACTTGGCAGGGTGGATAGACTTGGCAGAATAAATAGATTTGGCAGGGTGGATAGACTTGGAGAATGCATGAATGCCTACGCACACTGGCAAGGCACTTGATGATGATCTACCTATGGTAGAGTGCTTATGAATGTGTGAGGGGTATTCAGAAAGTAATGACCCACATAATAATGTTTTGTAATATCTTTCGCAATGTCTTTATCTGCAAATCAAGAAAAATGAGGCAGTGGAACCCACATGGGTCTAAATTGTACGAAATTGAACAGTTATGTAGCCAGTGAGTTTGTATTAAAATATGCAAATATCTGTTTTCAGGCAGGTCTCGTTCTCCACCTCTTCGTCAGCATTCAACGACGGAATACCTACCTTACATGATCCACAGTCGGTCTCCGCCAGGGCTGCTGCCATTGTTTCCATCATACTCTCTGTGTCGGCTGGGACCATCTAACCAGTACTCACATATGATGGGTGAGATTTATTGATTAATTTTTTGAAAAACTCCACTGTGGTTTGAAAGCTACTTGTTGTCCGTTTATACATTCTAGTCCCGGGCTATTCAGTTTGTCTTTCGCAGGCCAGCTCCAGCCTGCAAGGTCTAGCAAGTGGCCCACAGATCATTGCCATGTGTGTTATATAATGATCTTTCTACACTCAGGTCTCTGGCCCATGAAGATCTCCATTTGCAACATTTTGGTCCCTGAGTAAACTTAGTTGAAACTCATCCGTCCAACTCATTTGTGTTTCATCCTCTGATACGGCAGTCATTTCAGTGTCTCCATGCTCATCTTACTCAATAGTAATTGATAGGCAAATCTTCTGTCTTTGCCCCCGCAGCCAGTGTCCGCATGCTATTCTTAGCTTAATACCAGTTTCCAACAGGTGGTTCGTCATCTCTGACTCTTGTGTCTTAACATCTGTGGAATGCAGTGCATTCATTATGTCTGCCCTGTCCATACTTCTTTCTACACTAACCACTACAGACAAGTCTATCTACCTTGCCAAGTCTTTTACCCCAACATATCCTGATGTGTACTTCTTCTTCTACTTGTGATCGGTTTCATATGCCATCAGACCATCAGGTGTGTTGCCTGTTTGAACTCGCAGGTCCTACGTGGTTCCCTATAGCTTGCTTTGCACACTTTACTCTTGAGGCCAGGTTTCTTTTTAAAGTTGTAGTTGGAGTGGGCAGATCTGCAGAATGTGCTCAGGTGTTTTTTTTTGGGTCCTGTTTGACAGGCAAACTGGGGACTGTATAGTCTTTATGTTATGTATGTGGTAGTTGAGCTTGTAGTGTCCTGTTTGTAGGTGGAAAATTATTGTATGTTGCTTTCTGTTTGCTGATGAGGTCTTGTGGATTACTGTTGGTTCGTTCTCTCCAGTTCCCTGTATTTTCCCTTGAAGAGTTTTTTTTTTAATTTCTGGTACTGACAATGAATAGGTTTGTTGTTTCTTCTTTGTTGCATTTTTTTTTATCAAGTCTGTCTTCTAACTCATTTCCTGCTATACCACAGTAAGCTGGGATCCATTGGAGAACTGTTTGATTGTTTTTTGAGAGTCTGTTCTCTCCATCTTGTCTCATGAATGAATGAATGAATGAATTTTTACCCCACTAGGACATCACACAAGCGATAAACACCCGATGACACAAAGTGCCACAATGTGGGTGAGGATCACCGTGGAGAGGTCCCAGAAACCGTGTTCAGACAATTGGCCATATTTATGGCCTGCCTATATTGCAGCCCCTGGCAAAAGCCAGAGTGGGGCTTCAAATAACAAAAAATTACGTTCTGAAAAGGATGTATTTCAATATAAATATCTCATGAATTGGATTGGATTGGCTTTTTACCCCACCAGGACATCACACAAGCGATAAACACCCGATGACACAAAGTGCCACCATGCGGATGAGGATCACCGTTGAGAGGTCCCAGAAACCGCGTTCAGACATTTGGCCATAATGATGACCTGCCTATATTGCGGCCCCTGGCAAAAGCCAAAGTGGAGCTTCAAATAACAAAAAATAACGTCCTAAGAAGGACGTAAGGAATATATATCTCATGAATCCATTTGTCACCTGGAGAACTGTCATGCAGTCAAATTGGAAAACAGTTTTGCTGTTTTTAATTTTTCTTTCCTCAAGCACTTTGGTTGCACCAATAATTGCTTGCTGCTCTGTAGACGTGTTCAAGGATCTTTGCATGCGGTACTAGGTCACCTTCTTCAGCCTTTCTGTCTATACCTGGGATTATTTTTGTGATTCTATAGTTATGCTGTAGGTCTATGTTGTATGTCAGGATTATTTCCCATGTTGAAGGGTCTTTATTATTTCCCATGTTGAAGGGTCTTTAGAAAGGATGTCACTGTTTTTGGCGCACAGCAATTTTTACAGATGGTGGAAGCTTTTTATTTTCAGTTGGTTTTTAGTTATTTGCTATTGTGCATGGGGTTGTTGTTTATGCATTTACATTTTTTCATGGTATTTAATATGGCCGGTAACCGATTTACGTGTGGGCTGGTTAAATACCTTATGTAATAATTCTATGTGTGTGTAGCCAGCTTGTCGTGCTCGACTACTTCCATCATCGACAAACTACATTTCTGGTGACGCTGCTTGGCTTTGGTGCCTCTAGTAACTCAAATATATATTTGCTGCCTGTGCATATTTCTAGATTGTTCCGGGACTGATTGTTTGTTCACCAGTTTTTTTTTCAGATGCAACAGTGAGGGAAATTTCATTTGATTTTCACTAGCACAGGAACGGAGAAAGTATGGGGAACCTGATTGCAGTGAAGTTGAAACCGCGACTAAGACTAAGACTATGTTGGCATCACATGTATTTAGTGTGCTTCTTTTCAGACATTCTCTTCCTTTCTGCAATAACTTTTTCTTTCATTCTCATTCCTTCCCTCATTTGCTCCCTCCAGGTAACACAGTCCATGGAATTTTTCCCACACAATTCTACATCAGTATCTGTATCATTCATATCCTGCTTGCATACATCTTTATATCGACTTCTAAAAATTCTGAGTAATCATAAACAAATAAAAACAATTTTTTTTCCTATACAGGGTTGGATATGCCAGGATTTCTGCCTGGAAGTAATTTTTTATTACCTTGGGACATCCCTGTCAAAAGTGAACAAGAAAAATGGCCAACCGTCTCGGAGACGTTTGGGGCTGTTAAAAAACGACAGTTGAGAAAACTAACTAAAGGTAAAAGTTGGTTAACCATAATAATTATGTTGGCATTATTTATCAAAGGTTTTGAATACTCAAACCTAGACAGTAAGCAAACATGCAGAAAGCCAAACTGAGGTCCAAAAGATTTGATAATAATCATGAACAGAAAATTACATCTGGGATGTGATATTTATTTTCGTTGACGTGTTATTGAAGGCGTTCATGAGAATTGGCAGTGGTGGATTTTGTTTTTCTCTTCAAAATGTGCAATGGCTGCCAGGTTGACAGTCTGTGGTGGGTACCAAGTCAAGTCCTGGGAAATAGAGGTGGCCATCACTGTTGACCACATCACTGGATAATTGCCGATTGTTCTAAACAAATATGAGTCATGTGCCCTATGTATCCTCTACCTTTTACTTACTTTTAAAACTCACTTCAGTGAGTGCCGTCAGTACGTATGAATGAATATCACGGTTTTTTTTCTGTATGTTTTTTGCAGTGGGTATATTCTGTGACTTTGGTTTAAGTCTTCTTGGGCATCAAGTATGAATGTCTCTGAGGCCATGGCATCATATGTCTGATGTGCCTCTGGTGTAAAAGAGTCCTTTACTTTTAAAACTTACTTCTATGAATGCCGATCTTAAATGAATTTCACATGTTATTCTTCTGAATGTTAGTTGCAGCGGAAGGTGTAGAACCTGTGACTTCAGTTCGAGTCTTCTTGGGAATGGAGTATGAGTGTCCACGAGGCCATCGCTTTTTCTGCAGTGGGCCAGACAAAGTGATCAAGGTTTCTTCAAATAGCATAGTCAAGGTCAGTGTTGTGCACTCACTGGCATGTCTAGTAGTTTTCTCCTTATTCTCTCTAACCTAATTGAGGCACTGTGGATGGTTTGTGTATTATAAATATGCACTGCACCAACCAATACGTTTTGTACATTTTTATAAGCTTTTATTATGTTTAAAATTGTTGGTTTGTCTGAAAAGCCATATGCGTTTGATTTTTTTTACTATTTCCCCAAAAGCTATAAAAAGTAAAGAAGGTAAAGGACCCTTTTCCACGCCTTTAGGCATATAGTGCTAGACCTATATTTTATAGATCCATCGGCATAAGATGGGTGATGTGGTCAGCATCATGCCGACCGCCTTTACTTCCCAGGACTACACCCGATACCCAATCAAGGCTGGGTCAACCTGGGAGCCAATGTCATAAAACAAACAAACCTGTAATGCTGACATTTTTTTACATCTTAAGTGAGGGACACTTAAGAACTCTGAAAACATATTTGTTTCATTCAAGTGTTGTATATTTGGCCCCTGTGGAACTAGTATACCCATGAGTTTAGTATTGTATTCTCCACTACCTTGAACATTAGCTAGGACCTTGTCGGCTCGAAAGACTTAAATTAGTCATTAGTCGAAGTTCCAGCTTCACTGCAGATGTGTCCTCTCATAACTGCTCCGTTCCCTTGGCAATGGAAGTCACACAAAATGTTCTTCACTGTCTCTGTCTGAGAAACCAGTGAAAAACATGCCAGTCCCAACAAAATCTTGAAGCTCGCACAAGCAAAGCTAATGCGTAAGCTGCGGCCAGGTATACCAGCACTGACAGTCTCTCAAGTAGAATTGCAGCTTAGTATTGATACAAGCAGTCAGTCATGACAGCAGGCTTTTGCGCAAACCATTCTGAACAAAACTGAAAAAAACCATTCCACATGAAATCAACAACTCAGAGTGCTGCACCATACCCTCAGCTCAGTAGCTTTGTGATAGAACCTTCAGAATCCCAAGCTAGAAATTGAGAAATTGAAAGCATCACCAAACCACAGCTAGAAACTACTTTTCAAAATGTAAAGGCCAGCGGGCCTGTCCACCTTTTGGCCTGAGTGTGGTTGATTTTGTTATTCATTTATTTACTTGATTTTATTGTTTCTGTAGCATGCACTTGATGAGATACAATGAAATATGCCAGGTTTGTATTGCTATTTTTGTTTTTAAAATCAGAAATCTTGAGACACTTTCCATAAAGTAATGTTATAAGGTCCTTTTCTTTCCTTCTGGGTTTCGGTGTCCCATTTTGGGGAAACAATGATAGCACACACCCCCCCCCCCCCCCCACACCCCCAATAAGTGTGAACTTGAAAGAACAAAGTGACTGATTATTGATGTTTCTTTCAAAGTTGTAGTGCATATACCTGAGAAGTGAGACCACCCCTTCCCCAACAAGCATATTAATTAAGGTTGTTTCCTTTGGCGTGCACCTGCCTGAGAGATGAGAAGCCAACAGTCTGCAAACAAAAAAGCCAGATCTGTAAACTGGATGTGCATCATGAAAAAATTCTAGGTCTGGAACAAGACCAAAGTCCAGAAACGGATGAACAACCAGAACTTTCCGGTTGTTTACAGCCAGTGAATGCGAAGAAGAAGTAAACGAAGAATGCACAGAAACAAACAATAAATTTACTGACTGTGATTTATTTCTCTCTAGGACAATGCCAGCAGACTGGTTCAGATGGATATGCCTCTGTACACAGCTTGCCATTACAAGTAATGTCTGCTGTTTGTGTTTTGATGTCAAGTTAGTCACAGTATAATGGGCACTATATAACTGTCTATTCTACATATAAGTCTGTTGTCCATGCAACAAGCTGTTTTTAATATAACAAACTATTATTAATTTAAGTCTGTTATAAATTTAACAAGCTATTATAAATGTCTGTCTTGAAAGAAATTGAATGTTGAATTAAGAATCAACATCACAGCACTTGGGACACCCCCATAAGCGCTCCGTCCCCATCTTCAGCAGCAAGCGAAGAGTTAACATTTTGATGGTACCAGTAACTGTCTGATTGTATATCCGTCTCACTTTTCCCCTGAGTGTCGACCAAATCCTCTTGCAGTGCCATTCTCCTGAGACCATAATGAGCTATGTACGCCTCAACACTGTTCACTCGCTCCCAAAGGGCCCTCACATCATCCAGCTTGTCATACATCAGTTCACCACTATTTGAAAGAAATTAACCCATGAGAGAAAAGGCTGTTCATTAAGTTAACTGCATTGTATTCCATTATTGTTGTAAGCGATTTATTTAGTGCATAATATCCCCACTTTTAAATCTTTACTGTTATAATTTGATTGAGTTGTGTGTGACACTTGTAAATATGTGTATTGTTAGTTATAAAATATTCATCAATGTGTATGTGAATAACTGTTCTTTTATTTTCATTTTTCTCTCATATCTTCTCATTATCGACTTTATGAAAAAGAAAATCCCTTTGTCTGTCACAAAATCTCATCTCAGATGGTGAACAGTAACAACATAATATTTGCACGTCATTCTGGGTGCCATTTCTTTGTCAGCTATGCTATTTTCATGAACTTTTCTGTATCCTTTTGCAAACGCACACCACAATCCCAGACATAGAATTATGTCTCTTGAGTACCTTTATATTTATGTCTCATGAACTGTAATTGAGATGGCATTGATGTGGTATTTCTCCTCCACTGGCAGTGTAATTGGAATACTGACAGAATGGAAAACACCAGGGTTGGAGAATCTGTACTATAAAGCACAATACGTCTGTCTGTCACAAGAACTCTTCCCAAACAATGAATAGTAGCAGCATGGCATTTTCATGTCATTCTGGTCACCATTTCTAGATCAGCTGTACTATTTTCAACTTCTAACATCATTCCTAAAAGGTAAAACGTGCATGCTGGGACAGGCAGACAGCGGGCTGTGACTGAGTGTGGTTTATAGTTATTGATGTGAAGTAAATCGTACAGAGAACTGTAAGTTAAACTTGCTTTTAAAAAGTTTTTAGGATCACATCAGCAAATACCAGAATTTGAGGTAACGTCAGAAGATAAGTCCTCAGGTCTAAATGTTTGAATCTATCCCAGGCAAAGCTGGGTAATAAATTTCTTATATTCTCATATTTCCAAATGTGTTGTCTTTTTCATATTACCTTATCATATTTCATCATTTTAATTTTCATATTTCTTCTTATTTTCAAATTTGTTGTCTTTTTCCTATTACTTTTCATATTTCATCATTTTAATTTAAACTATTTTCCCATTGTTTTCATGTCACATTTTTTTTTTATGTAGGCAACCAAAAGGCTGCATGGCACAAATGATGAGAATCTACATTGTGACACCCTGTGATGTGGCCAACTGTCCACCGGTCCGTGTCCAGATCAACCCCTACATTCAGCCTTGTCCTGCCCCTTGTCCACAGTTTCATCCTGGGCTGGACTCTCCGCTGGAATTACCACAAGATGGCATTTGGGTGCTACGATTACCGTATCCTTACAAGGGTTTGACTTTACTAGCAGGACATTTAGGGTGTGAGAAGACATTTATTTTCATCATCCCGTAACACTACGTGTTGTTGTGTCACCTGTTTTTGTTGACTGTCTGATCAGCTCTCTCCACCTTTGGCGGTCAGTTGCGATTGACTTTATGGTTGCATGCCTGAGGCCTGTCCAGTCAGTCAGGTTTTGTAACCAGGTCTTTCTTGGTCTGCCCCTTCTCCTCTACCGAGCCCTGCAGTATTGTTTTTGAGAGGCCGCTAGATCTTATGACATGTCCAAACCATTGCATTTTTTTTACCTTTTCACTGTAGTTAAAAGAGGTGAGAAGACATTAGAGATCAGAATTCAGAAATACATGTATAAACTAAAACATCGTCAAGAAGGATAACCCCGGAAACAAATGCCAGCAGAAGTCGAATGTGTCGGCTGAAAGGTGCAAATATTTTAGCAATATTGTAAATGAGCTTAACAAAGTTACTTCTTCAGATGAACATAGAAGATGAAGGAGATAAAACACTGTTCTGAATTACATAGGCGAATATAGAATAAAACATCATTCAGAAATATATGTGTAGTAAAGCAGCATCTGTCTGTGTGGCTTAGGCTTTGTGAACATGCTTCATAATTCAGAGGTGCCTGGTTCGATTCCAGCTGCAGGTGATTTGGCAGCTGACCACTTTGTGTTCATTTTGACAGTGATATCGAGGACCGACCATTCAGTAAGCAATAGCAAACTACTGAACATAACATTGTCTAGTCAAACCAAACAGGGACAAAATGTGGAGGTTGGTTCAGCAGTGTCCTGTAAATGCTACGCAATAAACTTTAAAACAGCATTCAGAAATACATGCATGTGGCTTTTCACATATTGTCAAAGGCAAAGGTGAGAGGATCGACTTCATTGCACTGGGTTTGATCCTGTATGGCTCAGTCTCTCTCCACAGAGCATGACTTCCATAGCTTCGGCAACAATCCCCAGGGATCTCCATAAAAATTGAGCTTGTGAACTGAAGGCTGCTGCCGCGAAACAAACCCACGGACTTCAGAACACGAGAAAGACGACCACTTCACCATGGAACCCTCCCCCCCCCCCCCCAAAAAAAAATAATTTTCCAAGCAGGGAATCGAACCCCGACCGCCATGGTGAGAGTGCAGAATCCTAGCAACTAGACAACTTGGGAGGATTTAAAACAAATCATACCTTGCAGGATTCTAACCCATGACCTCTGGATTAGAATTCTAGTGCACTATCCACTGCGCTACAGGGACATGATGTATGGCCAATCATTGCTTACTGATTTAGCATTCATAAGTATGTGTACATAGTTGAAAATTGTCTTCATTTGATTATGTCTTAATTAGTGAAAACTAAAATAGTAGTTTAAATCCTTCTGTAAACAGTAAATATATTATGGGCAACAAAAAGAATCTACCCACTGGCCCATAACACGAGGGACCAATCTGGAATGTTTCCTTCAAGTAGGAGTGCATTCCCCTGAAGCGAAAAACCAACAGTCTGCATAAAAATAAACCAGATCTGTTAAATGGATCTGCATGCAAAATTCAGGTTTTGGAACAAGACTGAAATCTAGAAATGGATGAACAACCAGAACTTTCTGCGAAAGTTTCCAACCAGTCAGTGTAAAGAAAAAGCTCCTAGAGTGTCTTCACTATGTCCAGTATCATAAAGTAGCTCAGCTCCCAGAGGAATGGAGACAGCCAATCTATCAGCTTGCTCATTACCTAACATTCTAGAATATCGTGGGCAGAAAATTCATGCCATGCTCCTGATGTGAGTCTTATTAAGCATCCTGTGATAAATTATTTCTTAACAAAGATTGCAGACATATCTACAGAGATGAGAACCAGACCTACCTGATGCCCAATGACCACAACTGTTACCTGCTGAAAGGAATGTTCACATACAGGATTTTGTGACCCAGATTTTTGAATTAGTAGTTAATTCACTGTGGACAGTCAAGACTTGTGATGGCATGTAGGAATGACACATTTAATGGGAAAATAAAAAAATAAATACCTAGACAGCTTTGCTACATGACATGTTAGCAAAAGAACACAGACATGATAGGAGTGAGAGACAGATAGTAAAATGATGAGCACCCCTCCCCCTGTTTAACAGCATGGCATGTGATGATATTGAAATATTAGTGATTTCTTACTTATCTCCTTGTGGGATGCAATTTTTCATTATTTGAAGCCCTACTCTGGCTCTTGCCAGGGGCCGCAATATAGCCCAGCCATAAATATGGTCTAATGGCTGAACGCGGTTTCTGGGGCCTCTCCACGGGTGATCCTCATCCATACGGTGGCATTTTGTGTCATCGGTTGTTTGTCGCTTGTGTGGTGTCCTGGTGGGGTAAAAGAAGATAGATGTATTTCTCACTTGCTGACTTCTCAATTGAGAGGAAAAGAGGTAGAGGGAGACTAAGAGAGAAGATGCTGTACAGTTTGACATTATGGCTTGGGAGAGATGAGTTTCAGAACTGATCACAGGTAAAGTACACCAGACAGATAGCATGGAGTATAAAAAGAAGAAATCTTGATGTAAAGACAGGAACAAAAACCATGTGTCATAGTGAATTCAGTGTTCCCTATAAACTGATGTGTTGTGTGTAAACATTTGTATGTCTACTTTGTTAGCTGTAAACTTGAAAGTTATTAAGCATTACAGTTATCAATAAGCCCACATTTTAGTTTCTGTTTTTCTTCTGTCTTCTTCTTTGCAGTTCACTGGCTATAAAATCTGTGGAAAGTTTTCGTTGTTTGTCGACTTCTGGACTTGTTCCAGAATTTTGAGTTGTGCATGCACATATCTAGCTTATAAGTATGCAGACTGTTGTTTTCTAGCTTCTCAGGCAGGTGCACTCCAACTTGGAAGGAACAACCCCTTAATTGCGACCTTTTACAGCAGCTTGTTATTAGGGCTAATGGGTCTATTCTTTTCCCCGAAAATGGGGTAGGGCCCCTGAGCCCATACAGAGATGTTTTAACACAAGTTTTGCTACGAAAGTATTGTTTTGTTATACAAAAGTATCGAGCTTTGTTACAAAGGTATCAAGCCTTGTTACAAAAGTATCAAACTTTGCATTGCAAATAAATGACTGGACCTGAGGACATTTGAAATATAAGAGTAGAACTATTTAGATGAAGGTATGTTGGATATTGATACCACCTGGACTAAGAACGCCTAAGTTGTGGATGAGGCGATTTTCCAAAGCGAGGCGCTTAGTATGATCGCCAGAACAAGATTTTAAGATGATATATCTGTCACAGCATTAAAATCCAGAACCTGAATTTTGCGTGTGCATCCATTTTACAGATCTGACTCATCTGTATGCAGACTGCTGGTTCCTTGCCTCTCAGGCAGATGCACTCCGACTTCGAGAGGAAGCTCCCAATTAGTCGACTATTACAACATGCTTTTGGGTAGGCAGTGGGTCTATTCTTAGTTTCTCTATAACAGGGCCCCGGATCCCACACGGGCAGAGGTCAAATCAGTAATAGTATAAGCAAGACTAATTACATCAAAATATCTTATGAAATGGACAATCCCCAGAATCAGTTCAGACCAGGCACATACGGAAGAAATAGATGATAACAGCCAAGAACTATTTATCATCAACCAGTCCTGGGAAAAAATAAAATTCCTTTTGAAATGAATCTTTTTTTTCACAAATTTGCTTGTATCTTTCCTTGCCTGTTTCTGCTCTTCCAACTAAGTTATTGACCTGTTGAAGACAGGGACAAACATGTGATTTTTAGCTGAGCTACAAATACGATAATCAGCATATATATATATATATATACACACACACATATGAGAGCCATTCCCTTTATGTGTTTCAGGGCACAATTTTAGGGGGGGGGGGGGGAGAACAGACCAACTGCTTCCCTAAAGAGCATGACATCTATCTCTGCCTTCTAACCCCCAATGGAACACAGGCCCTCAACCAGCTCGTGTCAAGTGGTTCTATCCTTCTCTATCACACGCAGCTCTCCTCATTTTTTTAACTTTAATCTCCATGTGTTTTTGGTCTTCTTTTATTTCTAGGCCCCTGTGGGTTCCAGTGCAAAGGCATTCTAATTATACTGTTCTAAGGTGTTCTTTACATGTGTCCTATCCAATGCTAGCATCTTTTCTTCATCTCTCGGTCCACTGGAACTTGTTTAGTTCCCTCCCAAAGCTGTACATTAGTAATTCTATCATACCATTTCATTCCCTCTATTCTGTGCAGGCACCAGTTAATGAATGTTTGTAGTTGATTAGTAACTTTTTCTTTTTCTTATGGATTTCCAGAACTAGCTGTTGGGATCTTGCATTAAGTATAATTTGTCTTGCATATTAAATATTGTAGACACCATGAGTTGGACTGAAGAGAAATATCATCAGCCAAGTCCAGGTCATCAAGCTGTTTTGTAGGGATCCACTGAATTCCGTTCCTAGTGTTAGCAGTTGCTGTCTTCATAATCCAGTCTACAGCCAGTAAAACTAGGAGAGGCGACACAAGACATGCTTATCACACACACACATTTTTATTTCAAATATATCTGTTAGCTTTCTCTCATGAACAACTCAACATTTCATGTCTTTATAGGTTACTGTTACTAAGTTAATAATTTTCTGTGGGATTCCACAGTGGCCAATTGATTTCTGGAGAGATTCTCCATCAATGCTGTCAAAAGCTTTTCATAGTCTATGAATCCAATGTTGTATAAGGCTACAAATAAGGGGAGTTTCCTTCGAAATCGGAGGCATGAAACCAAAGTCCACATGCAAATAAGACCGATCTGCAGAATGAGTATGCACACGAAACTCAAGTTTTGGAACAAAACCAAAGTCCAGAAAAGGAGGAACGACCAGACATTTTTGCAGAAGTTTACAGCCAGTGAATGTAAAGATGAAGATACAAGGGCTGTTAAAAAAGAAAGAAGCCATAGGCATTATCAAAGAGAATAGTTTCCACAACAATGATGTCACCTGGCAGCCAAATAGAGTGGCCTGTTATGCACATACATGAGCAATGATGTCGTCACAGTCAATGTGACTGTTAAACACTGGTTAGTGAGCATGTGCACTATGCTGCCGTCACAGTCAAAATGACCGAACAAGTAAAGCGAAGAATTTTCCTACAATTTTGTATTGAGCTCTAAATTTTTTCCGCAGAATCTATCTGGATAATTTAGAATGCTTGTTGGGATGGTACAATCAGTGCATCAAATATAAATGTGTGGCACAAAACTTCCAAGGTGGCCGAGAATGTGGTCCCATTTGCAACTGTTCAAGCAACAGAATCTATGGAATAAACTTTGCCAGGAAACATCTCATACCTGGATCCTGGTTTCAAATTTTTGGATACAACAGTTTTCTTCTAATTTTCACACTGTAATTCGCCAGGTCTTTGTTGATTGTAGTTTATACCCATTCAACGTTTTCCAGTGTTCTGCCTTCTAACTAGGGGATCACATTAAATATTTTCGACCATCTTTTACGGGTTTGTGCTAAACTTTTCTTTGTGATGCATTCACTGCATTGTCCCCAAAAGCATTATGAATCATCCTAATAGCTTTTGCAAAGGAATGCTGAAACGTAAAGCAAAATTTTATGTGAATTCTTTGCGCTACTCGTTCAGCCATATAAAATGTGACAGAGTGTGTACATTCATCAACTATGTTTAATAGTCACACTGATTGGTACAGCGACTTATCTATAGGCATGACATGTCACTATAACTGGACGCTAAATTACATACACTAATGCTGCGCAAAACATTCTTTCCTACAGATTATGGTTTCTCCTTTGCCAGACATCTCTCTCTCTCTCACATACACATATATATACTCACATATATACACACATATATGTATGTGTGTATATATATATATATGTGTGTATGTATGTGTGTATATATATGAGTGTGTATATGTATACAAAGCTACAATTCAGACAATGCATGTAGTAGGCTACCATTATGAATAAAGGATAAAAGAAGTACAAGGTACTTAAGATGATAGATTCATTATTATAAATCAATTGGAACTCATCGGCTGATACAGTAAACACCATACTAGCCCATTTACTTACTAGGATCTTACTTTGTACCCATTTTAGGCAGGGTGAACCTGAGAGCAAAGGTCACATTTCTAAAACTGAATGTGCTCAGTGTGGTTTCAAACCAAAAACTTTCAAGCCAGCAGGCAAGCACCTAGTCACTGCTAATACATCACCCAAGCTACCATTAGAGCAATACAAATACAGAGCTTACATAAATAAAACACAAATACACAGCTTACGTGAAAACAAAACAAATACACAAGCTTACACAAAGACTATACATAAATAGAGCTATGGCTAGGTCAACACATATACAGAGCTACAGTTAGGACAGCACGTACACAGAGCTACAGTTAATACAACACATATACAGAGCTACAGTTAAGACAGCACATACACAGAGCAACAGTTAATACAACACATATACAGAGCCACAGTTAATACAACACATATACAGAGCAACAGTTAGGACAGCACATACACAGAGCAACAATTAATACAACACATATACAGAGCAACAGTTAGGACAGCACATACACAGAGGGACAGTTAATACAACACATATACAGAGCAACAGTTAGGACAACACATATACAGAGCTACAGATAGAACAACACATATACAGAGCTACTGTTAATACAACACATATACAGAGCTACAGTTGCCCGGCTCTCTAGCGAAGTTGGTTAAACCAGACTTTCGCGGCGGCCGGGTGACGAACTCCTTGTGGTCCGGGTTCTCTCCCGGGGGTAGGCAGAAAAGCCACATTTCTCCCAGATTAACGGTACCTATAATGGAATCAAGGCCGAAGGGTTGCGATATCCATAGTACCGAGCCAAAGGGTTTACAACTCATGGTTTCTGGATATGTAAAAAAAAAAAAAAAAAAAAAAAAAAAAAAAAAAAAAAAAAAAAAAGAGCTACAGTTAGGACAGCACATACACAGAGCTACAGTTAGAACAACACATTTACAGAGCTACAGTTAATACAACACATATACAGAGCAACAGTTAGGACAACACATATACAGAGCAACAGTTAGGACAACACATATACAGAGCAACAGTTAGGACAACACATATACAGAGCAACAGTTAGGACAACACATATACAGAGCAACAGTTAGAACAACACATATACAGAGCTACAGTTAGAACAACACATATACAGAGCTACAGTTAATACAACACATACACAGATCTACAGTTAATACAACACATATACAGACAACAGTTAGAACAACACATATACAGTGCTACAGTTAGAACAACACATATACAGAGCAACAGTTAGAACAACACATATACAGAGCTACAGTTAGAACAACACATATACAGAGCTACAGTTAATACAACACATACACAGATCTACAGTTAATACAACACATATACAGACAACAGTTAGAACAACACATATACAGTGCTACAGTTAGAACAACACATATACAGAGCAACAGTTAGAGCAACACACATATAGAGCTACAGTTAGAACAACACATATACAGACCAACAGTTAGAACAACACATATACAGAGCAACAGTTAGAACAACACATATATAGAACTACAGTTAGAACAACACATATACAGACAACAGTTAGAACAACACATATACAGAGCTACAGTTAGAACAACACATATATAGAGCTACAGTTAGAACAACACATATACAGACAACAGTTAGAACAACACATATACAGAGCTACAGTTAGAACAACACATATACAAAGCTACAGTTAGAACAACACATATACAGAGCAACAGTTAGGACAACTCATATACAGAGCAACAGTTAGAACAACACATATACAAAGCTAAATTTAGAACAACACATATACAAAGCTACAGTTAGCACAACACATATACAGAGCAACAGTTAGGACAACACATATACAGAACTGTAGTTAGTACAACACATATACAGAGCAATGATCAAAACACATATACAGAGCTACATTTAGAACAACACATATACACATGCTTAACACTCTTAACATCTTTAACAACAATACTGACAGGATACATGAGAATGGCATGGTTATTGTTAACTTCTAATATTGTTTCTATGACCCCCCCCCCCCCCCCCCCCCCCCTAACATCAGTCTGGCCTTTCCCTGAGTGTACAGTGTTGGCCAGATCCCTGCTGCATCATTCTTCTTCTTCTTAGCGTTCACCTGCTGTAAACTCCAGCGGAAGGTTCTGGTTCATCAACTTCTTGACTTCAATCCTATTTCAGAACCTGAGCGTTGCATGTGCATTCTTAGATCATATCTCATTCGTGTGCAGACTGTTGGTTCCTTGCCTCTCAGGCAGATGCACTTTAACTTAGAAGGAAGTTCTCAATTAGTTCGACTCTTACAACATGCTTTTGAGTAGGTAGTGGATCTATTCTTGTTTTTCCTATAATGGTGCCCCAGAACTCACCCGGAGAGCTGCATCATTATATCCATGCCCTAATGGTCTATTTGTGTTTCTGTATTGTTCTAATGCTCTCAAAAGGCCTTGACCACATCTAGTTTGTCATGCTTCAAGTCACTACCCAGAGGTGCAGTATCAGCCAATCTGTCCCCCTGTTAATTTCCAAAGGACGCTCACTACAGGGGACTCTTAACTGGATGCTTGCCACTTTAAACAGAACATGCCTGTCTCAAAATTTCTCAGTGTACTCTGTGAGTTAAGATACAACTTACCCATGTCATCAGTTTGTTGAGGTCATACTTGTAGGCGTACTTGGCAAACACATAAGAGATGGCTTGGATAAACCATGTTCCAATTTGTGTATTTCGATATGAAAGGAAACCTGAAAAATGATAGAATGATGTCAGTGTTCCTTGGTGATTTCATAGCTGCTTCTCACCTCCATTACCAGCTGACTGCATCTTTGAAGGTGCAAAGACTCTGTTCTAAAACATGTGTAGTAAGGCTTCTTGTTTGGCTGTATTCCAGGTTACACAGCTATATAGGACAACTGATCTGTCAGCATTTTACATATTGTTATTGTTATAGGATAGAGCATTTGATTTTAGAGATGTTGTAGTTTTTTTCTGGACTGTTTTTTTTGTTTTAGTATGTTGAACTAGTTGCACTTTGTAGCCTTGTACTTGCGTGTTTCTGCAGATTTGATTTTCATATTAAGTTTCTGTATATGGCCGGAGTTTTTAATCCTTTCCCTGTCTTGACTGATATCTAGTTCCCTTTTTTAGCTACTTCCCTGAAATAAGTCAGAGTTTTAGTCTCTTGTTCATTTTCTCAGACCATATCTATGACATGTGCATAGCCAAGTATTCTTGTAGTTTCTACAATAGCATAATCTTCTTTCACTCTCCTCATAATCTCTAGGGCCAAGTTTAAAAGAATCAGGGATATGTCATCACCTTGCTTTGAGCCAGATGTTGCTTCAAAAGGGTCTGATTTTGTGTCTTATCATATTATAAATGTCTTCCACACAGTCTGGTCATCTTGATTTACCTGTTTGATTTTTCAGATTCTTGCACAGTATTCCACAAACTAGTCCTATTTATGCAGTAATATATCTTTTAAAAAAAATGCACCATAATATTATGTATATCTTTTCTATATTCCCAATACTTTGATTGTTGTTGTAAGGTTAATATCTGATCTACTGTTGATTGTTTTTTGTTTGCTTGCTGAGAAACCTGTCTGGCAGTTATCAAATGTATATTCCATGTATGGTTATAATCTTGTAAGCCATACTAAAATCTGAAGAAACAAAATGGTGTAGTTGTAGTACATTTTACCCCACTAGGACATCACACAAGCGATAAACACCTGATGACACAATGTGCCACCATGTGGATGAGGATCACCCATTCATCCATTAGACCTTTATAACCGGGCTGTATTGGGGCCCCTGGCAAGAGCCAGGGTGAGGCTTCAAAATAACACAAAAATTCATCCCACAGGGGGATGACTAGTTACATCAAAAAATAGTGTATGAAAATTTGAAACTAAAATGCAGAGCAAAATTTGTAAATATGGTGTACATAATAATCATGGAAATATGGTCGATGAGAAGCTATTACGTAAAATCAAAGATAAAACCTTCATAAAGTGAATGATTCTCTCGATGTCCATGTGTATGCTTATGTGTGGTACTGTCATCATCTTCTTCATCTATGTTCACTCACAAAAGAGGCTGCATTTTATGTTGTGGTTTACAGTTAGGCTGTGATTATTTTCCACCCAGCCCATGGGGTTTCAGCAAACCCCTAATTTGTCACTTTTTATGACATGCTTGTTGAGGTGCAGTGGGTCTCATCTTTTCATTTAAAATGGGGCCCATAAACCCGCATGGGAAGTGCATTTTTAAAATGTTCACACACACACACACACAAAATAATACTAAAGTATTTTTTTAAAAAAAGTTAATAAATGAACACTCTGTTCTCACTAGTGGCCTATTGGACATCTAGCGCTAGACATTATTTTTATAGATCATTCAACACTCAATGAGTAGTGTAGTCAACATCCTGGACTCAGCTGAATGTGCCAAGGAAATCAATACTTGGTTTAACAGACCTGATGGGACCTGATGACCAGTACCAATAACATGCTGTGGGTAAAGAGCAAGGTAAGGTATGTAGAACACCCATTGCATCTTATTTCATCTGCAGTCGGCCGCGACTTGTCCTGCCACTGGATCCAGATGGACACAGGTGAGACAGTGTGGTCGACGACATTAAGCAAACTCTTTCTCACTTTAAACCAATTCATAGCGCAAGTCACACTTTCATCTCATCACAGTCAACATCATATCAGCTGCCTTTACTTTCCAGAACATTCACTGGTACCCATTTTAAGCAAGGTCATCTTGGGGGCCAAGGTCAATTTTTGAAACAAATCTGCCTTAATGTGGATTTGACCCTTATGGTCGGCAAGCGAGTGTCCAGCTACTATGTCACCTTGGTTACCATGTTTATATTATACAGGAGAGTAAATGATACAGAAGGAGGGATACTCGGCAAATGTTCTCTAAATACAGAGAAAAACTGATGCAGGACAAGACACTTATGTTGTAAGGGCCCTCTGGAAGCCAGTAAACAGTGTGAAAGTACAAGTGTATCATGATCTCTGGGGAAAATGGTGCTGCAAGGAGTGACCAGGGGACCAATGCTCAACACTATATATAGGATATTCAATCAGATGTTACGGGGTCCATCGGAACAAGAATTCTGTGCTTGCTGCTGAAGATGGGGACAAAGTGCTCATGCAAATATCCTCAGTGCTGCGATGTTGATTCTTGATTCAACATTCAACTATGGGAGGGATCCCTGTGTGGGTTCTGGGACCCACTGACTGGTGGATGGGAAGAGAATCCACTGTGCACCTAGCACGCATGTAGTAGAAGGCAACTAGGAGATTCCCCTTCAAAGTCGGAGTGCAACTGCCTGAGAGGCAAGGGACTACACTCTGCATTCAAATAAGTCTCATCTAAACTGAGGTCCTGGAATGGAAATGAAAGTCAAGAAATGGATGAACAAGCAGGACTTTCCACCAGAGATTGCAGCCTGTGAATGCAAACAAACAAACAAAAACAACTGAGAGCAGCAGCTGCAGTTAAGCAGTGACCAGGTGCTTGCCTGTTGGTCTAAAGGTTCTGGGTTTGAATCCCCATGAAAGCAGATTTTTATAAAATGGACTTGGCTCAAAGGTCAACCCAGCCTAAAATGTTTATCAGTGAATGTCGTGGGAAATTAAGGTCGCTGGCACAATACTGACCACATCACCCACTGAGGAAAAAGACCCTTTACCATACTTTCAGGCCTACGACATACGGGGCTAGGCCTATATGTTATAAACCAACTCACATTTGCTAGATGATGTGGTCAACATCACACCAGCCCCAGGTCATTTTTTAAAGAAAGGGCCGGATTTGTTCAGATTTGAACCCACAACATTTGGATCTCGGTCAAGCGTCTAGCCACTACACCAAGGTGGATCATGCAATCATCGAGTGCTAAATGATATATAATATATAGGCAGACCCACAATTACTTGCAATTACTAAGTGCAATGAAAAGGCCAACCAGAGAGATGAATGGAGGCAGGTGTTATCTGCAGGAAGAAACCTGATAACTCATAATGATGAAGAAGTATTGTATCTGTATGAGATATGTTTTCCCACATTTCTTAGGTTTAAAACTGGGGGGTCATCTATTACATAGAATTTTGCAAGCTAATATATAAAGACGTGCCCCTCTCCAAATTCTTCCCCATCCGACCTACACTCACTAAACGCTGGCCTGGTACTCTCCTCCAGCAGCCCCTACTCGACATTTTTCCTTTCATTTGGTTCTCTCAGTCACCCTTTGGCTAACGTGACCCCCATTCTCCAAAGCACACTCACTCTGGCAGTCCCATCTGCTGGCGCTTGTGAAGTAAATTTAGTAAGTAAAAAAGCAAAGTAAAGAACCCTCTTCACGCCATTAGACAAATCGGGCATATGGGAAAAGCTCCCATGTTTTTATAGACCATCAGCACTAGGTGGGCAATGTGGTCAGCATTACCGCAGCCGTCTGCTTCCCCAGGACAGCCATCTTGGTACCCATTTTAGGCTGGGTTGATCTGAGACGCCACATATCATGATAAAAATCCATGCAGCCAGCAGTTGGTTTTGATTGCAGTATTTTGGAATTACGAGTCTAAGCCACGGACACCACATGAAGTAAACATGGTATTTAGTTGATCAGTTAGGCTATCATCACTGCACTCCACATGCCATAGGTGCTAAGATCCTTCCCTCAGTACGAACCCCAGTGCCCGGTGGCTAATAGTACCAGTTCTAAGTTGATTAACAAGTCTTCTGATGTGTCTGGTGTGTGTCTCATTTTTTTTTAAAGCCGATCTAAACTCCCACATTCTGGCGAAAGATGTGGATTCACTGCCCCCAAAGTCCCTTCACCCTTCCCATTTCATGGAAAGTATTATTAACTCTTTGAGTCCCAAGGAACGCATCATGCGTTCATAGGTTCCTACCTAGAAGCAAAATGAGCGCATGATGCACGGTTTTTATGACTCTATTCACTACCCCCTGGGCCTGTAATGCTAAACCCCCTGGGACTCAAAGAGTTAATATCAGCATGATCCATAGGTTGACCATCGGTAGCGATAGCGGATTCAGCCAACCTATCAGCTCTTTCATTTTTATCGATGCCTGCGTATCCAGGAATGAAAATAAAAGTGACTACACATACAAGGGACTTCTGTAATGACTCAAGCCTTTGCACCGAACCTGCATGAACCCTCCAGATCATTCTCAATAAATCTCTGAGTACACATGTATGGGTGTAGTTTTGTGTTTTGAGCCATGCGAATGCTGCGTATATATGGTACATAAATACTGAATCATCAAATCAAGTTTCAATCTACGCTCTAGGCTGTAATTTTTGCAATGAGAAATGTCTTGCTTTCTGATATTTATAGGGGACTTTCATAATTTTAGGTTAACAAAAAAACAGGTCTACATGCGGCTATCTTATTTACAGAAACATACTGTATTTAAAAACCAGAAACATTACCTGGAATGGTGGCTACGGCCACAAAAACATCTGCACCTGAAGGCCTCTTGTCCCCTGCCGCATCAGACTGTGTAGTAGAAATAACTTCTTGTAGTGTTGCTTTGGCTTCTTTTATTATTTCCTCTTGTTCTTTAGTGTCCCCTACACCAGCGACAGGAGCAGAAGAAGCTGCAAAGCTACTGATGGGAACCTCACCATCTGCTGCTGCAGATTTTTGAGGTACAGTGCTATCAGCTTGCCCAACAGGATGACCTTCATTCTTGTTAGCTATAAAACAAGCAAAAATAGAATAAAATGGTATAGAACAAACTGACAGAATAAAGCTAAATAATGAAAGACCGAATAAACATACACAGAATAAATTATTGGATATAGCATCAACTCAGAAAATAAACTGACCCACATATACAGTGTGGACTATTAACTCTTTGAGTCCCAGGGGGTTTAGCATCACAGACCCAAGGAGTAGTCAAGAAAAACGTAAAATTGGCACATCTTGCATTCATTGGGCTTCTAGGTAGGAATCTATGAACACATGACACGTTCCTTGGGACTCAAAGAGTTAATATGCAAACTAGTCGCCATTTTTCAAGCTTCTTACATCACTGCATACAGGTCGCCCCATAACTGCCCCGTAACTTTACCAGCGGAAATTACACAAACAGTTTTTCACTGTCCCGTTTGAACACTAGTCAAAATATGTCAGTCCTAGCAAAATCTTGAAGCTTACAAAGGCAAAGTAAAAATACATAAGGCAGTTGTCAGATGTGCCAATACTAACTGTCCCATGCCACAAGTGCAGCTCACTGCTAGTGCAAACAGTCAGTCATGAATTCCTGCCATTTTAGTGGAGTTAACAAGCCACAGAAGGCACACAAGAAAAAATATTCTACATGAAATCCATTGCTCACAGTGTCACTCCAAGCACTCAACTCATTAGTTAGAGGACCAAACTTTAGGAGTCCCAGTCCAGAATGGGGAATGAGCATCAGCAAAACTTAGATGAAAACAAACAACTTTTCAGAGCGTCCTATTGGCCATTTCGGTCTGAAGTCCAATATATGTATATGTATGAGTGTATATATATGTATATATTTTTTCCTAGTACAATAAGAAAACTAATAAACATATCTCAAATAAACTTATCTGTTGGCAGTTACTTAGAGAACTAATATGTTTATTTCAAATATTTGTTAGCTATTAACAAGAAAAGAATGAACTAACAAGACAACTCTTATTACCGTATCCTGTGGTTGTTAACAACATAAGGGAAAACTTATGTTAGTTTTAGCATGAGAACCAGAGCTTTTTCCTAGATTAAAAAAGTTATAAAAAGTGCCAGTACTCACAACAAAATGAAAAAAAAAAAAGAGTTGCTAGTACTCATAAAATGTCTATAAACGGTGCCAATACTCACCACAAAGTGTCTATTATAGGTGCGCTGATAAAATGCCTTAAAATTAGTGCAATTGCAAACTGCCAGGAAAAAAAAGCCCTAAAAAGAACTAATAAACGCATCCACTGGCTATTAACAAGAACTAGAAAGCTTATCTGTTGCCTACTAGCAAGATAGCTCTGATAAACTTATCTGTTCACTATTAATGGGAAAACTAAAAACACATCAGTTGGCTATTAGCGTGAGAACTAATAAACTTATCTGCTGGCTATTAGCATGAGAACTCTAATAAACATGCATGTTAACTATTAATAAGAGAACTAATAAACTTATCTGCTGGCTTTTACCATGAGAACTCTAATAAACATACGTGTTAACTATTAATAAGAGAACTAATAAACTTATCTGTTGGCTATTAGCATGAAAACTCTAATAAACATACGTGTTAACTATTAATAAGAGAACTAATAAACTTATCTGCTGGCTTTTACCATGAGAACTCTAATAAACATACGTGTTAACTATTAATAAGAGAACTAATAAACTTATCTGTTGGCTATTAGCATGAAAACTCTAATAAACATGCATGTTAACTATTAATAGGAGAACTAATAAACTTATCTGTTGGCTATTAGCATGAAAACTCTAATAAACATACGTGTTAACTATTAATAAGAGAAATAATAAACTTATCAGCTGGCTATTAGCATGAAAACTCTAATAAACATGCATGTTAACTATTAATAAGAGAACTAATCTGGCTATTAGCAACAGATTTATCCACTGGCTAGCAAGACCATTCTAATACATTCAATTATCTGTTGACTATTACCAAGAGAAATAATTAAACCTTTCTGCCAATTATTAGCATGAGAACTAATATATTTTACTGTTGGCTGTTAGCAACAGAATTGAAAAGCTCATATGTCACCTGTTAACAAGAGAACTAATATATTTTACTATTGGCTGTTAGCAACAGAAGTTAAAAGCTCATGTGTCGCCTGTTAACTCTTTGTCCCAGAGGGTTTAGCATCACAGGCCCAAGGGGTAGTCAAGAGAGACTAAAATCGACGCATCATGCGTTCATTGGGCTTCAAGGCAGTAAAACATAAACGTATGATGCATCCATTGGGACTTAAAGAGTTAACAAGAGAACTAAAAATTTATTTAGTGGCAATTAGCAAGAGACCTCAAACAGAAACAAAAGCTGTTGACTATTAACAACAGAACTAATAAACCTATCTTTTGGCTTTTAGCAAGAAAACTAATAAATGTATTACCTATTAGCAAGAGAACTAAAAATCTTATCAGCTATTAGCAAGAGAACTAATACACTTATCAGCTATTAGCAAAAGAACTAATACACTTATCAGCTATTAGCAAGAGAACTAATACACTTATCAGCTATTAGCTAGAGAACTAATACACTTATCAGCTATTAGCAAGAGAACTAATACACTTATCAGCTATTAGCTAGAGAACTAATACACTTATCAGCTATTAGCAAGAGAACTAATACACTTATCAGCTATTAGCAAGAGAACTAATACACTTATCAGCTATTAGCAAGAGAACTAATACACTTATCAGCTATTAGCTAGAGAACTAATGAACTCATATTAGTCATTATCATCAAGTGCCTTGCTGACTGGCGTAGGCGATCATGCCTCTACACAATCTGCTTGTATCAGTTTATGCATTGAAACCCCTCTATGCCATGACAAAAGACTGTCAAGAATTTCCTCATCCTGTCTTTCTCTGCCTCTCTTTCCTCAAATCTTTTCAGTGGTCACAGCATGTTCCATTTTCCCTCTTCTCATAACATGACCAAAAACATTATGACTCTCTGATGCTTGTAATAAGTTATCTTTGAGCACCTGCCTCTTTCAAAACATCTTGGTTACTCGTCTTAGCTGTTTAAGGAATGCTGAGGATTCTTTTGTAAAATCACATCTCTGAGGCCTCAAAAAATTGTTGGGCCTATTTATTAATTACCTAGATAAAGAACAGAATAGGACAAGCCAAAACTGCCTTTTATAAAATGAAGAACAATTTGTGCAATAAATCCATGTCATTGGAGGTTATGAAAAGAATTATCACAAGCCATATAGAGCTGGTTTTAACATACCGATGTGATGTTATCCTTGTGCCTAGGTACTTAAAATTATGTACTTGTCCTAAAATAACATCTTTGACTTTTATTACACATTTAGACACTATTCTTTTCTTGGAAATCACCATTCTGTCTTCCCATTATTCAAACTGAGGTCCATTTTATCACTTTCTATCACCACCGTATCTATTAATTCCTGTAGTTGTTGTTTCTGACTTGTCACAATCAAGGTGGTGTCATCAGCATAACGCTGGTTATTTTTGTTATGACCAGCAACCACAATTGGTGGCATATCCATGATTGATCTCATTATATATTTACTGTGCAATGAAAAAAAAAAATCAAGTTATAGTACACATCCTTGTCGTACTCCCCTCTTTGTGCTCTTAAATGTTCCCAAATGGTTATCGCTTCTTACAGCTCCTGGTTGCTTCCAATACACTTTCTTTAAAATGCATAAATCTGTTTCATCAATGTTTAACTTTTCCCATAGTTTAAATATTTCTTCACGTTTTACGCAATCAAATGCTTGTATTAGTATGGAAACTAAAAAAACCTAAATGATGGCTATAAATAAGAAAGCTTTATTTAATTTATTTGAATGATTGAATTGATAGATAAAAACAGCAATGAGTAACTAATGTTATAAACAACGAAATTTGTCAAAAAAGGTAATGTTTCTTCAAACGTTACCTCCTTGGCAAGCCTGAATAAAGAATAGCTTTGGTTTTCCTTGCAGGTTCTCGCTTTTACAGAACAGGTCAGTAATGTTTTTGATTTCCAAAAAGTTCTCTGGATGACCATTTCTCAAGCGCCCATCTGTTCCAAAAACAACACCGGTGTGGCCATGTGAGAGGATGACCAGCACAAAACACTGAGCCTTTTTATGGTACTCCTTTTCAGATTCTTTGACTAATAACTCCCACATACGCTTTAAAAAAAAAGAAACAAAAAATGTCATTAAATTAATCGACATTGTCTTGAAAAAAACACTCAAGTGAACAAACAGAGATGATGACATTCCTAAGCATGGTCTTCAACAGATGCTCGTCATATAAGCATCACATAGATAATGTCATTAAATTAGTCGACATTGTCTTGAATAAAACCCTTAAGTGAACAAAGACGATGAAATCACCAAGGTGTCCTCGACACCATTAAATCCAGCCATTCCAGCGACAGAGTCTGCAAGTCTCTTGAGAATCGCTTTATCTATACTCTGGGGACATTAACACCCTCCGGACTGAATTGCCAACATGTTTTTATTTAAACTGCTAGGGGATTTAACTGCCCTCACAGTTTTATCTCCAACCCCCTAGTTATGGCCCTTGGTACTCTACAGGGGGTATTTATTCCCCCAACCGACACGTGTAGTCATTCTGCTGAGAAACAACCGACCCGGCTGCTTTCAGATACCAGCTAAGTGATTTTGTGTATCTGTGTGGTATTGTTTCATTAGTATGTGCTGATGAAGGCTCAATAGCCACAACGTTCATATTTTGTTTGTATTTGTTACATTGTGAAGCTTGCTTTTATACTGTTCGTTCGGTTTTATATATTTTCTTGAAATTCCTAAGCATGGTCTTTAACAGATGCTCATCATACAAGCATCACATAGACAATGTCATTAAATTAGTCGACATTGTCTTGAAAAAGCACTCAAGTGAACAAAGACAAAATTCCTATGCATGGTCTTCAACAGGTGCTCGTCATACAAGCATCACATAGACCATGTCATTAAATTAGTTGACACTGTCTTGGATAAAACCCTTAAGTGAACAAAGACGATGAAATTCCTAAGCATGGTCTTTAACAGATGCTCCTCATACAAGTATCACATAGACAATGTCATACTCAGAGCCAGGAAAGCTTTGATAGCACTGAAGGTGATGCATATGTCGATGTTGAACAACATCTACTTTTTCCTTTTCAATCAGAGACTTATATTAAATATTATAGACTTTAGACTTGGACTTCTAATATTTTCCCTGGTCTCTGGGTAGTAAGATCGGATGCCCATGTGCATTGTTGCGCACGTAGAAAATCCCTTGGCAGTCGGAAATGGAAAAGAGTAGCATAATGGCGCTGTCCAGGCAAAATTTTAAGTTGAAAATCTAACCAAAGTATTTTAGGATTCTCGCCAGTGCTACAGAGCCTATGCACTGTGCTGAGTTTCTTCAGACTCTGACTTTAGTTAGAAAAAAGAAAGGAGCACTAATGGGTTACTACCCATGTGCCATGATGTTGATCCGTTGTTCAAACTTTAAGTTATAGACTAAGGCCTGAGCTTTCTCACCACCAGCAGACCTCAGCTAAAATGATTGGACCAGGTACAAATTGAGGCCATGAGAACTGATACTCGGCTGCATAAAAGACACCTCCTGCCATGCCATGCCATGTGTGCTGGGGTTTACCAACGACAGCCACCAGACATAAAGTGACACAGGTTAAAGCACACATGAGAGTATCAGCAGACATCAACCATCTGCTGCACAATGCTATCAATGACATACAAGGCGTGTGTTTCAGATGAGGCCGCTCCTGGAAGTTTAAAGCTAAAAATTGAATCCAGCAGGTATGTAACCTAGACACGATCAGTCATGAAAAAGAATGGACAAATACGCCAGTAGACATGCATGACCTGTCTAAGGCTGTCATAACACCAGAGAGATACTGCAGGAATCAACCGCAGAAATTGAAATAAGGGCACTGAGTAATCAGCGGTTACACCTTTGAGACATCATCATTTACACAGATGGGTCTGCAAAGCACAGTTAAGGTTAGCTTGGGCATACATAACACAAAGGACGGGCTAAAGCACTCGCATGGGTAGCAGAACACAAAGTTCATAGCCAAATTCACCAACTATATTTTCAAGGGGTTTTGAGGGCATTTTTTGTTTGTTTCAAGGCTGCACCAAGCATAGCACTGCTTGATTCATCCACAAATATATGCTGGTATAGGCACACATATATAGTGTTTTTAAGACTTGGTGGCAGAGGGGTGTCAGTAAAAGGAATGATTACCATCAACATTAGTAACATTTAAAACATGGTAGTCTTATTGCACAGCAAGTAACCTAAAATTCCAATCTCTTTTACCTATGGTACAGGCAAAACATTCAAACAGGTCAGTCAGTCTTTCGATACACAGGCTGCACCATAATATCTGAGAGAAGATGTTATACAGAGGTCAGAATTGATGAAAATGTTGGGACTGTGGTGAACATAGAAGAAACAAATGCCGACATATCAAAACTATACTCATCAAAACCACGATGAAATGACAAATGTAATTTGTGGAACAGAGAAGTTGCAACCGAAAAAAAGAACTTTGTGTAAGAGAGACAATAGCTACTTGAAGAAGAAGAAAAATAGATGTGAAAATACATTAGACAGAAGAATTACGGTGAGATGAGTCTTTCTGTCTTTCTATCTTAACATGATAGCAGCGACAGTGTGCAAAGAAAACCTGCTATATATCAACATTACTATCTGTTACCTCTTTTGTCTGATTTTTGGCAACTTCAACATCAAAATCTAATGCTTTAAAAAGTGTCTCCAAAGATTTCCTATCCTCAAATGATCCAACTCTGTTATCCAGATGAGTGAATTCTTCATTGTTTATTACCAGCACTCGTCCTCGTGGTTTTGCCGACATTAAGTATCTCATCTCCTGGAATCAACAGTAATTTGAACTTTCAGTTACATTAATCAAAATGGCATGAAATAAACTGTACCAGACAAACAAACAAACAAAACTAAATTTAATGAAAGCTTTGAACAAGGGTTACTGCAGTTGAGCTGATATCTTCTTCAGTGTGTTCACCTGCTGTAACCTCTAGCATAAAGTCCTGGTTATCTGTCCACTTTGGGACCTTGGTCTTGTTCCAGTACTTGAGTGTTGCATGCACAACCATTTTAAAGATCTGACATATCTGTATATAGACTTAGTTCCTTGCCTCTTAGACAGATGCACTCTGACTTTAGAGGAAATGTCCATCCTATCTCTGCTAGCTAGGCCCCAGGTAGGGAGCAGTTTCTAGGACAACCACAGAGAGGTGTAAATATGTCTTGACCAATATGAGCCCTGGTACTGGTAAACCATTGCATCCATCAAGCTTATATATTTTCAAAGTAAATTTGCTGAGCAGAAACTATGACTGGGAAGCTCAATGAGAGGAAAATTGAAAATACACAAAGATACAATTAAATGTTTTAACCAGGTTCTTTATCAAGGAATAAAAGAAAAATCTTAACCATCCCGTAAATGGGTGAGTACGAGAAGAACTATAATAGAAAAGTGAAAAGTATAATCAGAAAGGGCTTTTGTGAAAGGAAACATAAACATAGGAAGACATTTTCTTCTTTCTTCTTTGCGTTTACCGGCTGTAAACTCAGGCGGAAAGTAATGCTTCTTTGACCAATTCTGGACTTTAGTCTGGTTCCAGGACCTCAGTGTTGCATGCACATCTGTTCAACAGATCTGACTTAACTGTATGCATGCAGCAGGTCCTTTGCCAGCTCTCCCACTTTGTGTACTTGTCTACATGGTTTCAGGCAGATGCACCTCGACTTTGAAGAAAGCCCCCAATTAGTCCACTCTTACGACATGCTTGTTCAGGAGGCAGTGGGTCTATTCCTGTTTTCCCCATAATGGGACACCGGAACCAATATGGAGAGGAAGAAACAATAATAATAATAATAAAATACAAAAAATACTATATAGACAGATGAACTTTTATGTAATCTTTCTTTGTCACCTGAGACAAGAAAGAGAATTCTTTAAAGGTATATAAATCCTATCTTGAAATATGGAAGCAAATTATGCACAGTAGATTAGTGAAAAATTATTTGGAAGCTGCCGAGATGTAGTTTTATAATTGAATGATGAGAATACCCTGGACAGATAAAAAAAGTAATGAAGATGTCTTGAAAGAAACTGACTCACAAATGGAACTGACTACCCACATCAGAAAGAGACATTCTATATTCTTTGGTCATATGATGAGAAGGAGAAAACTGGAGTGCATCGTGACGGTGCATCGTGACGGTGAGAAAGTTGGAAGGGAAGAGAGACAGAGGGAGACCAAGAGAGAAGATGTTGGCCAAACTGACATCATGGCATAGAGGATTATCTGTGTCAGAGTTGACTGAAAATGCACGAGACAGAAGGTTGTGGATAGACATTACTACCAACGCCACACAGTAAAGACTTTAAGAAGAAGAAGACAGAGGAACACTGACTCCTGCAGGGCTCGAGGCACTCAAAGCATTTGTCTCTCTTTGAACAATCACACTACTATATGTTGATGTAACTCTGTAGTAATACACCTGACGAGACCATGAAATATGGCAGGCAACAAATTGTGCAATATTTTGTTTACAACCTTTTTTTTATTTCATAATTAAAAATTGGTTTCAAAACTATTACTAGAGTCAGCGTCTGTGGCTCAGGCGTTGTAAAAAAGCTTTGTAACTCAGTTTGATTCCAGCTGCAGGCAATATGGCAGCAGAACACCTTTCATTGATTTCAACAGGGGCATTCAGAGCTGACCGCACATAAAGCAATGTCAGACTATTGAAAGTAATATTGCCTAGTCAAATCCAACCAGCCAACAAATGCTGGGTTTGTCTCTGCAACGTCCGGTAAAGAATAAGCAACTAACTTAACTTCTACTGGTACCACAGGAATTGGAATTCTTCGCTGGCTGCTCAAAATAAGGACGGACTATGTATGGAAATGTCCGAGTGATGTGTCACCAGATCAACTCAAGATCATCATATCTGTAGTATGTTATTTACTGGGTGCTGAATTAACCCTTGGAGACGAAGCCTTTTTGGAGTTCCGGTGCCAAGAAGACAGAGCCTTCAGAAGTGGATTCTCATATTTTATACACACAAAAATTATAAAAAATAAATTGTTTAATTAACTATACAAAACTAGATATATTCTTGTAGGAAATTGAATGAACTAACAGAATATTTATGAACCAAACTGAAATCTCAATACTTATTCAAATTAACTATTTTGATTTGCATAATTTATCCAAGATTTTATATTTAAACTTGGGAACAAACATAGTTAGCCTGAAAAATTTGGGTGAATTTTTTTAGGGATGAAGCTTAAATAAGTCCTGACACCTGTATTTTGGGAAGTAAGCTCTTGGAGGCCCTTCAAACATATTTGGCACATGGTTCTATTCATTTTTCTGCCTCCAGCTATGTTTTGGTTGCTATGACGCAACTGTCCTTTTCGCCATTTGTGGGCACAGGTAACTCCAGCAAATAAATCTATGTAAAATTAAAGAACACATCAAAATTTCTCGAAAGCCATCAATGAACAGCCCACATTTGCAAGAAATGCGAGATGCAGTCTGACTGGCTGGTATGAAAACCTGCCAGCCAATATCAAGGCTTCTGTTATATAGGGCCGACCGATCGGTCCAGTTGTCCTTTTGGCTACTTTGTATTGGGCCGATATTTCAGCTGCATCTTCTCCAAAGGGTGAACAAACAAAGTTTGTTTCTTCATTCATCCTTGGAAAATGGGGATAGGGGAGGGGGGTGGGGCACAATGATATTTCAAGGACTGCAAATATGACTCATCATCATGTAGCAGGTCCTTTGCCAGCTCTCCCACTTTCTGTACTCTTCTACCTGAGGTGTCGCTTATTTCCTGTGTTCACATTCATGATGCTAGGCCCCTGCCCCTCTTTCCTGGTATAATGTCTTCTGCTATTGTTTCTTCCATTCCACCATGGCGCTTGATATGGCTCAAATATTTCCTTTTCTGAGAGAAGATGTTTACTAGCTAATCTTCCTTGATTTTCAGATCTTTTAGGATGTCAAGTTTTTCTCTTCCTCTTTGTCCATTGTATTCTGATAATCTTTCTGTAGCAATTCAGCTAAAAAGAGCCTATTTTGTTCCTTAATGACTACGAGATAGTCTACGACACATATATATGTTGCTACAGGGAAGACTCTAAACATGTTGACTTTGATTTCCTTGCTTGTGATTTATCACAGACTTTTAATGCTGTAATAAAACAACTTACTTGTCCTCTGGGTGTCAATGTTTCTTTAAATAAGTTGATCATTCTTCTATGAGTCTCCTTAACCATTCGGACAGTAGTACAGGCTTTTATGGCCTCTTCTGATGGCCATGCTGTTAAAATAGAAAGAGAACACATGATAACAACGGGAACAAAACAGGAGACTAGTTTATCATTATTTTCCCTTTTACTGTTAAGTGTAGTGGGAAGAAACAGTTTACAGTTCCAGCACTCGATGGGTGGCACTGACCATAGTAACAAGTTTATAATATTAGATGTTATCACAATCAATGTCACTGCACTCTGGGCATTCCCATGTGTACTCAGTCCTTCAATAGAGCAGCCATTCCAAGGGACCTCTCCTGATTGTTCCCATGAAGAGTTGATTACAATGTCTCCTATCTTAACCTCTAAGACAGCACCTAAATGCTTCACCAGGCTTCTCTCTCAGGTCATAATTTTTGATCTTCTTCTTCTTCTGTGTTGACCATTAAAAGGCAACAAGCACACTGAGTTGTAGTTAACAGCTAGGATGAAATATGTGCCAATTTAGGCCCAACACATCAGCTTCTACAAATCCTTTAATAGTCAACCTTTATTACATGTTTGGTAAAGAAAAGTGAGTCTATTACTTTTTCTTTTTTTTTTAAATCTTCCCTAAGAAAATATGACCCTGGAACACACATGGTAAATCAAACTAAATATGATATTTTTTTTGTTGTAATCACTAATACTGTTATAAATCTGGTAACTGCGGTTCCATCCTTGTATCAAATGTGTCACCCTGTTGGTGCTCTCTTCCTGTGCCAAGGAAAACACCACACAGAATATCCATGTCTCTTGTCAAGAAATAATTTACACAGCCTGCACACACAGGCTACAAGTCAAAAGGCTGACCAAGAAAGAGATGGATGGAGGAAGCAAAACAAACATTACAGAAATGCAATATGACATTAACACAAGCTGCATGATTATCAACAGACAGGAAACTACACACAACTTTTCTCTGCAACACTTGACAGCATAAGCAGTAGGACAAAAGAATAAAAAAGAAATCCCTACTGTCTGGAAGTCCCTCATCTGGTGAGTCATACTCCATTGTTGGAGTTTGCTGGACTGCAGGTGATGACACATAAGGATGTAGAACAACCACTGGCATATGAGGACCCTTCTCTGGCTTTAAGATGTCAGCTGCCTCGTACAACTGTTCTTCTAAAACAGCATTGTAGAGATAATCCAGTGCTCTGGGTCCCCGAGTTACAATGAGGTCTAGCAATGCCCATGTCTTTTTATGTTGTGTTTTGTTGCTCTGAAATTATTAAACAAATTGGCAAAGAAATAGTAGCTTTAAAAGATCTGAACAAAATATGAAACTCTAAATTATATAGTTTTAAAACTAAATTACAGTATTTTTTCCTTGTATAAACGATGAAAGGATCATATGTGTCAGATTTGATTAAAAGTACATGAGACAAAAGGTTGTGGATAGTCAAGGCTACCAACGCCACACGGCATGGACTTTAGAAAGAAGAAAACGATATGTTTTCTCAAATATTTTGAGTTTAAAACTGGGGTGGTTTTACACAAGGAATGCTGTTATAATATTTTTTCAAAATTTTGAGCTTTAAAAAAAAAGGTGCTGTCTCAAACCTGGTTGCGTCTTATACAAAGAAACATAAGGTAGGTATTTTTAATTCTAATGTTTACATTTTAACATGTGTTAGCAAAAGCTGGAGAACTACTAAAGACATGGAATAAAAATCAAATGCATTTGAAAACAAATGGCTGAGAAAACTGATGAATATTAAACTTTAAATGGAGTGAATTAAAGAAAGGCGAGAAATAAGACTACGAGAAATATCCAAACAAAAAAAGGTAAAACAACAAAGAAAATAACGCTACTGGGCACATTCTGAGAACAGGTAGAAAGAGAATACCAAAACATGCACTGAAATGGGAAACAAGTGGACTAAAGAAATAAGGACATCCAAGAAAATCCTAAGATGAACAGTGATGAGAGAAGTTGAACTGGATTCCATCAAATTCACTCATGATATTGACAAGTTTTTCAACTTCTATCCAGGCGTTATAGTTTGAAATTAAAAGTTATATCTCAGTATATCTATATAAATATTGATTAGACTGCCTAGCTTCTATGAACTGGAATGGTGATCAATATTGTAAAATTATATGTCATGCTAAATCAACAACTAAAGTGTCTAACAATAAACACTTGACTTACCTCTAGCACATTATCCTTCATATGCCGCGATATGACACCATTGCTGAACAACCAAACGACAACTGCTTCGACGTTTGGAGCAATAGCTTCTGTCAACTTGATATAATTTCTCCGAACAAATTCTTTTTGATCCATATGTTATATTCCTTGGATTATAGACGTGTACAATATATGTAATAACCAACAGGGTTATAATACTTTTCATATAACTGAAGCTGAAGTAAAAAAAAAAAGAGTCATCTTCATCTTTCCAAGAACTATAAAAGGGTTCTTGATTTTTTAATCCCCTCCAAGTCATAGGTCACAGGACAGCCTAATATCTCAGGGTGTTCCAGCATTGGCAGAAAGATCCTTACCACTGTGGTCAATTGTCGTGCAGTTTTGTGTGTGCTTGTTTTGGTGTGCATTTCAGAGGATAAAGTTATTTGCAATGGTGGGCCATCATCTGATGTCAAACAAACGACCATCAAAAATGACCAAAAAAAGTAATAGACTACACAGCACAGCAGAAATGGTGGGACTGAGAATAAATACAAATAAAACTAAGATCATGACGAGCAGCTCAAACCAACAACCAGTGACCATAAATAACCAAACTCTTGAAAATGTAGAACATTTCACATATCTTGGCATAACGAGAACTGATGATGATGATGATGATGATGATGAAACGACCATCTCTGTCGTCACCAGGGGCATCAGGGGTTGTGAGCTTAAGTTCACAATTTTGACATTTCCTACAAATTTGTTTCTGGTGTCAGTTCAGCTGCTGCATGCGATGTGGCAGCAGACCGTTTTGTGTCGATTTCGACAATATTGTGAGCGTCTTTCTGGTGGCCATAGTATTCTCTGGCAGTTCACTTCAGAAAAGATAAACCTACAATGACATCTGTCTTGTCTTGACATGGGTCATCATTATTGTTAAAAAAAAAACCAACCTGCAAAATCTTTCATGTAGGTTCCGGGACCCCATTGTGCGAAAAACCAGAACAGACACACTGCCTCCCCATCAAGTATGTGGTAAGAATCGATTACTTGGGAGTTTTCTTCAAAGTCAGAGTACATCTGCCTGAGGGGCAAGGAACCAATATTCTGCATACAAATGAGTCAAATCTGTAAAACGGATGTGCATGCAACACTCAGGTTCTGGAACAAATCTAGGGTCCAGAGGTAGATGAACAATCACAGCTTTTCGCTTGAGTTTGCAGTCGATGAACGTGAAGAAGAAGAAAAAGAAGAAGAAAAGAGAATGAGCTGAAAACAAAAGGGTCAGGTGGGAATGGGGGTGGGGCATGAAGTCAGCTGCACATGGTGGCAAAGGAAAGGGGTGCTTAAAATGTGTTTATTGAGGGTCTATGTTCCACTGGAGGATAAAGGGCAACCAAACACAATAAAATAAAACACAATTTAAAAAAAAAAAAAATACTTCAACCTATCTATGCTACAAAGACCACATAACGCATGGTTGTGCTAGAGACATAGTAATAATGTGAGCAGACCGTAACACCAATTTTCAGGAGGTGAAATGTCAAAAACATGTCCTGTTTCACCTTATTACACCCATTTTAAGCAAAATCCACCCCCTCCCCCTTTTTTTCAGGAGCAGCAAATTAAGAAGATAAAACAGGCAATCAAGACTGATAACAATAAACGATGGACATGGTGTTGTTAAGACATAGTGTTATTTAGATATGGTGCTGTTAAGACATGGTGTTTTTAGGACATGGTTTTGTTAAGACTGGTGGTGTTAATACATGTTGTGCCCGGCTCTCTAGCATAGTTGGCTAAGCCGGATTGTGCGGAGACCGGGTGAGGAACTCCTTGTGGTCCGGGTTCAATCCCGGGGGTAGGCAGGAAAGCCACATTTTCTCCCAGATTTACGGTATTTACAATGGAATCAAGGCCGAAAGGTTGCGATATCCATAATACTGAGCCTAAGGGTTAACAACTCATGGCTTGTGGATACTAAAACAAACAAACAAGACATGGTGTTGTTAAGACATGGTGTTGTTAAGATTGGTGTTGTTAAGACATGGTGTGACTGGTGTTGTTAAGACATGGTGTTTTTAAAACTGGTGTTGTTAAGGCATAGTGTTGTTAAGAGATGTTGTTGTTAAGTAATGATGTAATGATTGAAGTCACTCCACCTCTGACATTCCCGTACTGGTTCAGTCCTCTGATACAGCAACCATCCTCTTTCCTTCTTCTTCTTTTTTTCCTTCTTCCATTCCTAATCTTCACCATCAGACCACACATTATATCACATATATAACCAAACACAACAAACCTTTAATATGAAGCAGATCCTAATTAAGTGAGCAACCCATATATAACCCAAACATACTCTAACTAAATGACCAACACACCAACTTGACTAAGATGACTGATTATGTGACCAACTAAACAGACTATAACTTTTTTACCAACAGAACATACCACGACTGTCTGCCAACAGAACAGATCCAACTACTTGACTAGCTCAAGTGACCAACTGAACATACCCCAACAATGAGACCAACTATGTGACTAATCCAACTTAGAAGACATTAATTAGGTAACCAACCCAGCTGACCAACTGAAAAGACCCAATATTGTGACCAATAAAAAGCAGATCCCAACAATCTGAACAACCAAATGATCAATAATGTTTCCATCCAATGTATCAAAACTTTAAATAACCTGACATTTTTTCACATGGACTTTCTGTTTGGTTTTCCCTGGCATAGGAACGGAGCAACTATATTGTGACCCGTTTTGCTAAGTAAGAAGTGTAACGACCATGATTACCTGCTTACCAGTGTCTAAAAAAGACAAAAAGTTCAGTAGCACAAGTATTTATCATTTATTTATTCATGAAGAAATCAACAATTCAAATACTAGGATTAGCGGATACGAGAAGAAAGGGACACAATACAAAACTAATACATGAAAATTATGTGCTGGTGTTGAGCGCAGTGTTGCCACTTTTCTTTGACAAAAAATATCCAATTCAGTGTCAAAAAATATCTAAAAAGATCTAAATCTGCGTGGAAAAGATCTAGAAAAAATATCCAAATTGAAAAAGTCAAAAATTACATATAATCAAAGCAATGTTTCCCCGTTGTAAATTTGAACAAAGAAGACACAAACAATAGACTGCACAATTTATTGCCTGGCATATTTCGCTGTATCTCATCAGGTGCATACTTCAGTAACAATTAATTAAAATGAAGCAAATAGCTGAATCCTAGAAACTGAAACACAAATTCGAGTAGATTTCAAACTGTTTCACCAAGGTAAACGTAGGGCAACGACCATTTCCTTTTGCCTACAAAGTTCCGGTTTCAATCTGCCAATCGCTGAAGCTTCCGCGTATCGAAGTAATCTACGGTTAGCCGAACTGTAAATAATTCGGAATGCATCATCCCTGTTAATGATGGGCCCGGAATTTAGAATATGGCACGCAATTGCTGATGATGGATTATTTCGACAAGTTACCTGATTCGTTGTTGTTGAGGTGTTAGTGTTCTGCATTGCTTTTACCAACCATAGTGGAATATGTTCAGCAACCCGTTGTTCCAGTCGTCGATCAGTTCTGCCCACATATGCAACGTTACAGGTGCATTTAAATTGGTATATACAGTTAGATCTGGCGTATGTCGACGTACGCCAGATCTAACTGTATATACCAATTTAAATGCACCTGTAACGTTGCATATGTGGGCAGAACTGATCGACGACTGGAACAACGGGTTGCTGAACATATTCCACTATGGTTGGTAAAAGCAATGCAGAACACTAACACCTCAACAACAACGAATCAGGTAACTTGTCGAAATAATCCATCATCAGCAATTGCGTGCCATATTCTAAATTCCGGGCACATCATTAACAGGAATGATGCATTACGAATTATTTACAGTTCGGCTAACCGTAGATTACTTCGATACGCGGAAGCTTCAGCGATTGGCAGATTGAAACCGGAACTTTGTAGGCAAAAGGAAATGGTCGTTGCCCTACGTTTACCTTGGTGAAACAGTTTGAAATCTACTCGAATTTGTGTTTCAGTTTCTAGGATTCAGCTATTTGCTTCATTTTAATTAATTGTTACTGAAGTATGCACCTGATGAGATACAGCGAAATATGCCAGGCAATAAATTGTGCAGTCTATTGTTTGTGTCTTCTTTGTTCAAAAATTACATAGCTTTTGTTATGACTTACCCTACATAATCATGTCCTCACCTTCACTGATGTCTGCCTCACAAGATCCACAGGATAAACTTAGCTTGGATAATAAAGTTGAAGCTTCAGATCCAAAATGACCCTGGTATGCTTTAGCTGTTAAAATTTCTTTATAAGTGGAACAGTAGGCTTATTTCTCTTGTCTCATTAGGCCGAATTGTAATGGCACGATAGCATTTAAGAGACAAATGATTTGGAAAACGAGTAAAGTGTTTCAGCAAAAAGGTATTCCAAATTCCTTGGTAAATATTTAGATGAAGCATGTGATAATGCTAGCTGCAATGAATGACGCATAAATTTTATAAGTATTAACAATGGGTTAGCTTCCTTCAACTTGGCATAAACGCCATTGTTTATACCAACCATCACTGAGGCATTATCAGTACCAATTACAGCCAAATTCTTCAAGCCTAACTGTTTGCTGATTAAAAGGTCTTTCAGTTCCTAAACTATACTTTCTACATCACACTTTTCAAATTAAACTAATCCAAGATTTTTTACAAATCGATCAAATGGTCACAGTTTGAAATTGCGCAGTGACAAATTAAAAACATTCCGACTGATACTTCAACTTTTGATGATTCATTTATCAGTATAGTTCTGAAAACAGATGTCAGCAGTGTAATATCTTTAAATGAAACTGCAGTTTTATGCTTTTTTTAGTCTCTGCATGACTCTTTGAGTTTTGTATTGTCGCTTTAATTTCACACTTGCAGTACTTACAACAAGCTTTGGTTATATACCCAGTTTTTAATTTTGTCATCATGCAACCACTCTTTCCAAATTTTTTGCTCATACTTTACTTTTGGCATGTTGAAAGGTTTTTTCAAAGTAAAAGCCACTCAAGAAATTGAGCAATTATTGTTTTTAAATCACATGAAAAAGAAACGCAAAGTCAGCACAGTGAGTATACG